TCGAGATTGGTCCCGGCCGGTCCCCGAACCGGCCAGTAATGAAAAGAGGAGTCAGGGGAAGAAACAAGGTGGCGGAGGCGGAGGATTCGGTACGAAGAAGAGAGAGGGGGGGGGCTCTGGTGGTTTTGGCGGACGAGGTCAGTTACCTGGTACTGATAGTGGAATGACAACTCACAGAGCTGGACAGACAGAAACAACTCTAACCAAAATAGATCAGGCGGTTTCGGAATGAACAACGGCGGCAATAGAAATCGAGACAACCAGATTAACCAGAACAAGCGAGACAGCTTTAACCAAGGCCTGTCGAAATGGGGTATCGGCCAAGATACCAAATCTGGCGGGGGCTTTGGTGCCGGTTCGAGACGAGATGACAAGCCCCCCAGAAGAGAGGGTGGCGGCAAGTCCCAAGCCGACGTCTTTGGCGCCCCTCTCCAATCGAGAGGAAATGCTAGAAAAGTGAGCGAAGAGCAGCCACAGAGCGTTGGCCAGGACGCAAGCAGCAGCTATGGAGGTGGAGCCTTGGAAGAGGATGACAACGATCGTCCTCGAGCTAGAAAGCATCATGGACGTGAAAGAAAAGGTCGAGGAGAATCGCATTCCCTGCTAGACCGGCTGAGGTCTGATGGCGAGGACGCCTCCCTCCCCACTACCAAACACCATCGCCGAAACCGCCAGCCCGAGCAATCCCAACCCGAACAACCTCGCAAACCGAAAGCGCCAAAGCCCAAGGTGGTCCCCGTCCGTCAAGAGAAGGAGGTGTACATCCCTCGAACAGTGTCGACTGCCAACCTCGCAAAGATCTTTGGGGTCAAGCTTTTCCCTCTGCAGGCAAAGATGTTGCAGCTCGAGATGACGGAAGATGAAAGGCGGCCTGATTATCTGCTTAGTGCGGAGCAGGCTTGTAATATAGCCATCGAGTATGGGTACAACCCGATTGTGGACGATGAGGCCAGTTTTGATATTTACCCAGAGCAAGTTGATTTCCCGTGATATACGGCAAGGCTAACGATGAAAAATAGTACTGACCCGGTTGATGGTCCCCTGCAACCGCTTCGACCCCCAGTGTGAGTTCTATACCATTATGGTTCGCAATACTCACATACTCCAGTGTCACGATCATGGGCCACGTCGACCACGGCAAGACCACCCTCCTCGACTCTCTCCGGCACACCTCGGTAGCAGCCTCCGAAGCCGGCGGCATCACCCAGCACATCGGTGCATTCTCCGTCCCCCTCTCTTCCCTTCTCCCCTCTGCCGACCCCAAAGCTTCGGCAGCGACCATCACCTTTCTCGATACACCCGGGCATGCTGCATTCACCGCTATGCGCGCGAGGGGCGCTTCGGTGACCGACCTCGTCGTGCTGGTGGTAGCCGCCGACGACGGCGTCATGCCTCAGACGCGAGAAGTGCTCGACCTCGCCAAGAATGCCGGCGATACCCTCGGCCTCGTCGTTGCGATCAACAAATGCGACAAGCCCGGAGTCGATTTCAACAAGATCAAAAGCGCGCTAGGTGCCGAAGGCATCTTTCTGGAAGAAGACGGAGGTGATGTGCCGAGTGTGAAAGTTTCGGGGTTGAAGAAGACGGGGTTGGATGATTTGGTGGAGACGTTGGCGACTTTGGCGGAGATTAGGGATTTGAGGGCGAGGAGGGATGGAAAGGCCGAGGGATACGTTTTGGAGTCTCGAGTGGACAAGGGTCGAGGGTGAGTCTCCGTCCAACCCCGCTGTATCATATGACTCAGAGTATTGTAGCAACGTTGCCACTGTACTCGTCACAAAGGGCACTCTCCGCGCCGGCTCCTCAATCGTAGCCGGCACCACCTGGTGCCGTGTCCGCCAAATGCAAGACGACAAGGGCAAACCCATCCGTGAAGCTCCTCCTGGTACACCCGTCTCTGTCACCGGCTGGAAAGAGCTGCCTTCTGCTGGTGACGAGCTGCTCGAAGCGGTCAAGGGCGAGGACGAAGCAAAGAAGGCCGTCGGCAACAGAAAACGGGATATAGAGAGGAAAAAGTTGATGAAGGATGCCGAGCAGATTAACGCCAAGCGGAGAGAGGAGAGGTTGAGGGTTGAGGCGGAGACTGCAGCCGCTGAAGCGGCGGAGAATGGCGAGGTGGTAGAAACTGTCAGGGAGGTCAAGGACGATTTCAAGACTCTGAGGTTGATCATCAAGGCGGATGTGAGTGGGACTGTAGAGGCCGTGGTTGGTTCTTTGGAGCATATTGGCAACAAGGAAGCTGGGGTCAGGATCATCCAGACTGGCGTTGGGGAGGTCAATGAGAATGATATCGCTCTCGCCGAGACTTCTGATGGTAAGCACTAGCGTTCCACTGGTATCCACTCGCTGATCGTCACTAGCCACGATCATTGGCTTCAACGTCTCGGCCCCTCGAGCCATCCAGACTCTCGCCAAGAACACAAACGTGCCCCTCCAACTCGAATCCGTCATCTACCGCCTCATCGAAAAAGTCCGCCACGACGTCGCCGCCCTCCTGCCTCCCACCATCGAATATTCTGTCAAGGGCGAAGCCTCTGTGCTTCAACTCTTCCAGATCAACGTCAAGAGAAAGGAGTTCATGACGATTGCGGGCTGTAGGGTGAATAATGGCGTTCTAGACAAGTCGCAGGGTGTGCGGGTGCTGAGAGGTCCGGACAGAAAGGTCGTCTTTGAGGGCTCGATGGGGACGTTGAAGCATCTCAAGAAGGATGTTCAGGATGTGAGGAAGGGTATGGAGTGTGGTATCGCCCTGGAAGGCTTCACCGATATCAAAGAGGGAGATGAGATTGTGACTTTCGTCAAGGTGGAAGTGCTTAGAGAGTTGTAAGAAAGCCTTATAGATGGCAACACATCAGACATCATGCATTGCACACTCGCATCTCACTGGTGATTTGCTATATAAGAGATTGCATAGATGATACATGACTCGGCACCCAAAAGGAAGACTTGATTTACAAAGACCCAAGGGCAAGTGAAGCGCACAAATATACAAAAGAGGTACAGTAAAGAGGTCCAGATGGACATGGTCGAAGCATTTATAACAAGACAAGATCAGTCTACTTTCTCCCAGCAGAAAAGTGCAAGATGTCGCGCATGAGCGGGTTCAGCCACTCATCCTTCACCGCGTCCTTCACTGCAAACTTGCCTTCCCCGCGCGTATACCTTCTCAACGCCGAAGGGGTCGGCCACAGCAGATCCTTGTACGCCCCCACAAAAGCGGGAGCTCCGACTTTTCGGGCTTCAAAGTAGTCTACGAGATTGACATGGGCATGTTCTTTGAGGATACGGCGGGCTTGGTTGAGGGTACGAGGGAGGGGGTAGACTGGGAGTTCTGTGGCTGTGGAGCTGGAAGTGATCGTAGATGAAGAGGAGGCAGTATCGGCTCGGGGGCGTTGTACAGGGCGTTGGGGTGTATTTCGGACGGGAAGGTCGGGGAGGTCTTCTTCGAGGTTGACCAAGCCGAACTGTTGAATGTCAGTACTAGTTCAGGTTACGATATGAGTGCTCACCTCGATACAGAGCGATTGCCACAGTCGAAGCTTGTTCTCCTTGAGCATCATAAAGTTTCGAGGGTCGGTCAAGAAACTACTCGAGTTAGTTGTGCGATGAGACAAGATGAAGATTACCCACCTGTTGATGGACGAAGAAGCATCGCTCGCGCTCATTACACTGGGAGCTGTCCTCCTCTGTGCGACAGGTGTCGCCCGACCACCTTCGTCGTCTTCAGAGTCGTCCTCGTCTTCATCATCCCAAGCCGGAACCCGTCTTCTCCCTGAGCTAGCGCTACTCCCCGTAGGCGTTCTTGATCGACTCGTAGTCCCTGTGGTCGTCACAGAAGCAGTGTCATCGGTGTCGAGAACAGAATCGGCCTTGGAAGAATTCCGCGTCTCCGCAAGCCGCTCGGCCCTCTGTTTGTTCTGTTTGCCACCCCTTCGGGAACGACGAGTCTTGCCCTTCCCACTCGTATCATCCAGACTGGAATCAAGTGACAGAGATGGAGACACATGGGATGGAGGGACGGAAAGAAAGTTGTTTGAAGCTACCCCGCCAAAGAGCGAGGATCCGCCGAGTCCGGACGCACCGCTGGAAGAACCAGACGCCACAATACCGCCTTCGTTCGCCGCCTGAGCCTGCTTCAACGCCCATTTCCTGGCCCGCCTAGCAGCGGACTTGGACACCCTCTCTGGATCCTTGTCAGATTTGGCGAGGACTTCGGCGAGCTTGGAGGGAGAGGCTTTTGGTGGCGGAACAGACACGGACGCGGGTTTGGGCGACACGGGTGCCCTGGATTGGACAAACACAGCAGAACCAGAAGACTCGGTATGGCCTGTGGCCTGTGATGAGATCTTAGAGCTCGTAGAGCCCTCGGGGAGATCGGCAGACTTGCGGGCCCGCAACCTCTCCCGCCTACGAGCGTATTTTGATTTACCCGCCGGTGCTGCGGAATCTGATGCTGTGAGCCCCGTTGAGCCCGTGGGCGTCTTGGTGGCGAGAGAAGACGTCTCTTCCATGTTGAGGTGGACATTGAGAGTGGTGTGTCTGCCCGAACTTGGGTGGCTGATCACTTCATAGTCGTCCTGGGAAGATCGGCGGTCCGACGGCGACTGCGCTGAAGAGGTCCCAGCTCGCGAGTCGACTTTGGAAGGGGCTGAAGAAAGTGAAAGGGCGTCGAGGCTGGAGAGGAGGGAGTAGTCGGACTGGGGGGAAAGAGGCGAGTGGCTTTGCGGGGGCATGTTGCTCGGGAAGGCTGTAGATAGGACGAGTGAGCGATTGAGAGGTATTGTGCTGGGGCGACGTACCTTCTGTTTGAACTAGTATCTCTGGTACTTTGCAGGCTCTTGTAGTAGTCGGGCAAGCAACAGAAGACAATGAGTCAGGCGGAATACAACTTGAATCTAACAACACATGTCTGCGGCTAAGTGCGGCTATCGGTGCCCGCCGCCATCACGCCAACGGGAACAACAACAATCGACAGCATCATGATTCTACTCTCCCTCCAAAAGCAAGGCTTTCAAACATCAAATCTGCATATCAACTGACGACGATTTACCTCACCAGGTGAGACTGATAAAACCCCAAGTTTGCCGTGTCCGACCGCGTATCCAGGCTGTCGCGTCGCCATATTTGGCTCTGGCAACCGTACATATCAACCCAGCAACCGTCGTCGAAATGCCGCCAGCGCAGGCGAAACATCCTGTATCTTGGCACGAAGACTGTCACGAAGACTGTCCGTGACCATGGATATACCCTCTTACCTCTCTGGCCTTTCCCATGGCCTCGCTGTTCTACCATTTCCTTTTAATTTCAGACTCTTTTCTCTCTGTGCCCCATTGCGTTCTTTATTCATTTTACAGAGCTTCGCTGGTCGACTCCCTCTTCTTTCTCTCCCCTTTTTTCCTCTTCGAAAATCTCTTTCGGCAACCCCATCCAGCCGGATCGATGAAGGTGCTGGACATCTTGTACTCCATATCGCTCCTCTCCGCCCTCTCTACTCTTTCTTTCGCAGCCCCTCTCCCCGCATCTCCCACCCTCGCCGAATCTACCTCCATCTCCCACCTCGCCTCCGATGCATCTCCCCGGGCACTCCCGGACGGGGTCAAGCTCGTTTCTCTCGCCACCCTTCAGACGATGGAGAGACGCATGGTCTTCACGGGGCATGCAGCCGGTGACGGTAACGGGCACGTCAAGCGAGAATCTCATCCTGTCGGACGCTCCGATGCTGCAGGCCACGTCAGTAGCGAGGGACAGATTCAGTACTTGGCCAAGCGAAAGAAGAAGAAGACGAAGACTGTTTTCAAGACGACCACAACCGTCGCAGCGGCAGCCGCCACAGAAGCAGCCAGCGAGGGATTAAAGCTGGCGATGGTTTTCGAGTCCATCACCAGTCAAAAGACGTGAGTCCGCTTCTTATGGTATGAGGCAGTGGTTGACAAGACGATAGGTCGGCTGGTACTATTACTGAAAAGTGTCTGACTCCCCTCAACGATCCCTCGCAACAATTCTGTCAGACTCTTCTCGACGGCCAGTCGCTGGGCGGTGGTGATGCTGGCCTCACCGGATCCACCGGGTCTTCCTATTCTTCTTCGTCGTCTGCTGTTTCTTCAAGCAGCTCAAGTTCGGTCGCTTCTTCATCTTCAGTCGCTTCTTCATCTTCAGTCGCTTCTTCATCTTCAGTCGCTTCTTCATCTTCAGTCGCTGCGGTCTCTTCGTCAAGCTCGACCACGGCGTCTGTTGCGTCTTCTAGCGCGGCCGTCTCATCCTCTTCCGCGGTAGGATCTGCTGTAAGTGTGAATTAACGTTGCGTGCCATCAGACTGATTGTCACATTATTTTCACATTAGGACATTGCTTCATCGACCGAAGCCGCCCCTGCTAGTATAAGTTCAAGCAGCTCTGCCTCTATCAGCTCTGATTCTGCTTCTGTGACAGAATTAAGTACGCACTCTGTGTCTGTCGCCGCTGCGTCCGACGGGCTCAGTACAAGCTCTGTCTCTTCTGCTGCCCTTGCTGCTGCGTGAGTCTTTCTCTCGAGGTCTCGGGGAGCTGAACTGACTTTTGGGGTAGAAGCGGTGCTGATCAAGTCACTGCTATTGGTGCAGTCAGCGTAAGTCCAACGACCAGGGATTTAAAACCTCCAGCTGATGAACTGTTAGACTACCGACGTCCCCGGTCAAAACCTTCAAGTCCTCCCCATCGGTCTCGGTGTCTTTGGAGGTACGCCTTCTCTTTCAACATTCCTCAGCCTCGTACTGACACTCTTCAGGTCTCGCTGCAATTGCCCTCATCGTCGTCGGCTACGTAACTTGGCAGCGACGCAAGTTCAAACAACAATTCAGGAGCAGAAAGCTCGCGGAGAAGGCGGCGCCTCCGGGTATGGCTTAGGGCAAAGAAAGTATGAATGGGTGTATAAAACATTTGTTCATGTATGATTGTATGTTGTCGAGATGGGTGTGTGGTGATTGTACCATCCCTCGCTATCGTGTTCTGATTGCGGCCTGGATTTGCTCGACTACTTGCTTTACAGCGAACCCACTCGTCACTCAACGCAAAGTGCGGCAGCAGAGCGGCTGTTGAGCGGTGAATCCCGCACTTTTGTGCCACTTACGTCACGCGGGTGCCGTAACATTTACGTAAATGATGTTCTCTTACTGAAAGCGGCGGCGGTGGAAGGAAAGGATGGATGTAGGTGTAGATGCTGCCCATGGCGGCGGTGATGGTAAGGAGGGCTAGTGGGGAAGGAGATAGGATGCATATGCATGGGTTGAAGTAGTTCGGCCGGGATGGACGTCGCACTCTGGCGCGCTCAGAGATCGCGTTGTTTTCGCGTGAAAAATCAGTCTCGATCCATTACGGGAGTCGCAAGACTGCACTAGGGGCAGGGGGTATACCGTGCATGCAGTGGGGGTATGCCAGTTCAGCAGCCATGCGCTGCAAGAGGACATGGGCGGTGCGGCTGCAAAGGGATGCTGCCCTGGCTCATGCACCGACTGTCACTCACCGCCGTCCCTTCCGGCCTCGTTTAACGCCCGTTGTTTCATCTCCATTTCCATCTTCTTTCTCCTTCCTCCTTTATACCTTCTTCCGCCCAAATATCCATTCCCCCCACCATGGCCTCTCCCGACCCCGCCCTCCTCGCAAACCTCCGCTCCCTCTACGCCGCCGCCGACCAGTCCCACGTCTTCACCTTCTACGACTCTCTTCCCCCCGCCGAGCAGGCTTCCCTCCTCGCTCAGCTCGAGTCTATCGACGTCGCTCGTGTTAACCGCATCTTTGCCAACGCCGTTGCTGCCGCCGCTGCCATCACTCCTGCCAAGGAGAATGTCAACCTGCTCGAGCAGAGCCCCACGGTCCACAAGGGTGAAGGGGAGAATGGAAATCTCGTCGGCAATGGACCCGAGGACACCGAGGCCAAGCCTTTGCCCGAGGAGGCGACTGCGACCGTGCTGAACAACCCTGAGGAGGAGGCCAAGTGGCGGGCGCAGGGTTTGGAGGCGATCGCAAACAACCAGGTCGCAGTCTTGCTCTTGGCCGGTGGACAGGGTACTCGTCTTGGCTCGGCTCTTCCCAAGGGCATGTACGATATCCAGCTGCCTAGCGGCAAGACTCTTTTCGAGTACCAGGCGAAGAGGATTGGCAAGATTGAAAAGCTCGCCGAGGAGACGTATAAGAAGGAGAAGGGCAGTGTGAGGGTCAGGTGGTATGTCATGACCAGTGGTCCTACCAGGCAAGCGACGGAAAAGTACTTCCGGGAGAGTGGTTTCTTTGGTCTGAGAGAACAGGACGTCATCTTCTTTGAGCAGGGTGAGTCTTTGTCAAAGCATAGTGGTCCTTGCTGACCCGATTTAGGCGTTCTTCCGGCTTTCAGCAATGAAGGCAAGCTCCTTCTGTCCGGCCCCGGCTCCCTCTCTGTCGCCCCGGACGGCAACGGTGGTGTCTATGCTGCCCTTCGCCGCCCTCTCTCCTCCTCCTCCCCCACCACCGTCCTCTCCGACTTGCGCGACCGCAACATCCAATACATCCATGGTTACTGCGTCGACAACTGCCTCGTCCGCGTCGCCGACCCCGTCTTCATTGGCTGCTGTGTCTCCCGCAAAGCCGCCGTTGGCGCCAAGGTCGTTCGCAAAGAGTACCCCGAAGAGAGCGTTGGTGTGCTCGCTGCCAAGGGCGACGCTTTCGCCGTGGTTGAGTACTCTGAACTGAGCAAGGAGAAGGCCGAGCAGAGGACGGCGGACGGCCAGCTCTCTTTCCGAGCCGCCAACATTGTCAACCACTTTTACACTGTCGACTTTTTGGAGAGCGTGGAGGAGATGGAGAAGGACATGGCGTTCCACATTGCGCGCAAGAAGATTCCTACCGTCGACCTCTCTTCTGGAGCTGCCATCAAACCCACCGAGCCGAACGGCATGAAGCTCGAGCTCTTCATCTTTGACGTCTTCCCCTTTACAAAGTCTCTCTGTGTGCTCGAAGTCGACCGAGCAGAGGAATTCTCGCCTCTGAAGAATGCCCCCGGGAGCAAGGCCGACTGCCCCGAGACCAGTCGTCGCGATCTGCTGGCGCAGCAGAAGAGGTGGTTGCAAGCTGCCGGGGCCGAGGTGGCTGAGGGTGTAGAAGTGGAGGTCAGCCCGGAAGTCAGCTATGCCGGCGAGGGGCTCGAATGGGTCAAGGGCGTCAAGATCGTGAAGAGTGGGGTGTTGAATGGGAAGGATGGGTTGGCTGAGCTGAGTGCTTAGATTTGTGGATAGATGTTTCCTCCTGTTGTTGAGGGGGGTCATACACGCATGTTAAATGGACAATCTCATATTCTTTTTTTTTTCTCATGATGGCTGTAATGCATCGCATCTCGAACGCCAAGTGATTCATACAGTCTGCACAGATCATGCCACCATATACATACTTCGCTCGCGGCTCGTGGCCCGATCTATAGCCGAGGCTAGCTACTACGTAGGAATAGCATACACCCGGAACCTATCATTGGCGCCCGGCGAAGTCTCGTCAGGAATGACAAGATGAGTCCCGCTGGCCTCCTCATTTGGATCAGTCTGGAGAGGTCTATAGTGCGTGTCTTTACTGTCAGGGGGCTGGTGGGATCCTGGCCATTCGATCGGCGCCTTGTACACTTCATGGAACCCAAGCCGTTCGAGCCCCGCCTGTAAAATCTGGTCAGCTGCCGTACCTTTTCACCTACAAGTTTGTTCTCTGCTCACTGGCACCTGTTCAGTGAACACTTCCAGCGAGGTCCGTTGTCCATCAGCTCGACCAAGAGAGGCCGTGACAGAGTACAGCGCTGATGCAAATCCTTGACGGCGCGATGTCTCCCGTGTAGAAGTGGTTGAAATCCGGTACGTGTCTTCAGGGTCCCCGGTGGTCTCTATTGATGCAGCATAGTTGGACAGCAGCTATACGGGGATCAGCTGACATATCAGCGTCCCTCTGGTAAAGGGGAAAGAGCGGGACATGAGTGGCTTCTTCTTACATGTTCCTTGATAAAATTCAAAGAATCTTCAGGCACATCGGTCGGATCGTAGTGACGAGCGTAAGCTTGGCCTATAGGCCTATAGCGTCCTGTATGAGTTTACCTGCCTGAATAGTTCATATTGTAGAAACAAAGACTGACGTAAGTGAAGGATTGACAGCTCCTGGGGGCTGAACGACAGTCACCGCGCAAATCGGTTCTGTCGCGGTGCCTGCCGTCCATACCTGCCCCCCGTCCAATGCTGGCATGAGCATATTATCTATGTATGTACCGAGCTTATCGGGAGCTGTCCATCCACATGCAGTGGCAATATCATCTTCAAAAGACGGACGACGTCAGTATCCAAAGTGTTCAACACCGCTTGGCAGCGACGCGAGCACGGCGCTTCTGCTTCTCACCTTTCGACCAAGCTTCATTGGTTATTTCGAGACAGATGTCCACCTCTTCATCTGCCAATGTCAATCATCGTGAGCTGGTCAATCTGCTACTCGCATAAGACGCTTCCACTCATACCTGTAGTGGTATCAGGGTTCATCCTCCGTACGATGATTGGATCGCCAAGGCTTGCAAGGTCTTGATGAGATGATTGCGTGGGAGTCGATGGGCTTGATGAGTCCGACATGGCCAAAATTGGATAACATTGGAAACAGCTTAGTCCATTGGTCTAGGCCTTATTATATCTGCTGCCCAGCGGTGTAACAGCTCCCAGCGGAGTTTCGTCAGCACGAACGGAACATTGTCTTTGCTTGACCATGTTGACTGAAAGGGAATGCAGCAAGGGGCTTTTGTACTTGATCATTCAGAGTTCTGTAAATAGGTCATGCTTCGGTACATCGATCGAGGTAACTTCCTTTACCCTACGCAAACTGTCTATATACATCGAGCGCTTACAGGACGTGACCGAAAGGGTTCCCAAGTCGCCCGCAGCTACGTCTACACGCCATGCTATATTGGAAGTGGAATCTCCGTACTGAGAGGGGCTAATAACATTATACCACGCAACACGACTAGATGGTAATTCCATTCTGTTTTGGGCTGCTCATCTCTGTAGCCCACCGGTATGCATTCAGCTTCACAGCCAAAATGTGCCCTCTTTTCTTAGTATCTACACGGAAGTCATATACGCGTCGTGGCTTAACCTGCCTGACCCCAGCTACGGACTAGTAGGAAGAGTGTAAACCCGGAACCTATCATTAGCGCCCGGTGAAGTCTCGTCGGGAATGACCAAATTACTTCTACTGTCTTCCTCTGATGGATCTGTTTGGAATGTCCTCAAGTGTGTGTCTTGCCTGTGAGGAGGGTGGCAGAAGTCAGGCCACGAGATAGGCCCCCTGTAAACTTCATGATATCCAAGTCTTTCAAACGCCGCCTGTCACTTGCTTGTGAGCTATCATACCCTGTCAAACAACTAGTCACCTTTGACCCACTGGTACATTGTCGGTCATGACATTCAACGATGCTCTCTTTCCATCCGCTCTAGCAAGAGAGTCGGCGACTGCGTAGATGGCTGACGCAAACCCTTCATGACGTGACCCTTCTCTTGTGGCAGTAGCCGAAATGTGATACGTGTCACCCGCATTCCCGGTGTTGGCTTTCGATTGCCGGAAGTTGGATATGATCTAGCAGGAAAACGTCATCTCAAGAACCACCAATATTCCATTATTGAGGGCTAAGATCGAATCTGGTTTCTTACTTGTGTTTGTAAGAACTTCAACGACTCTGCAGGAACATTGTACGTATCGAAGCGCTGCGCACACTGTCGACCCAGACGCCTAGAGAGACCCAGATGAGTTTATCGGTTTGGATCATTGATGGCGAGCAAGATACTGACGATATGGCAGGGTCATCAGCTCCGGGGGGGCGGACGACGGCCACAGCACAATACGGTTTTGCCTCAGTCCCGGCTGTCCACACCAGCTTCTCAGCCATTGATGGAATGATCATGTTATCTATGAATGACTGGAGCTTCTCGGGAGCTGTGTATCCACAGGCAGTGGCAGGTTCATTTAAGTGTGCGAAATGTTGAGTACGCAGAAGAGACGAAGAGGCAGCCGAGAAATGGTATCAGTATCTAATAATGTATGATATCATCATATTGTATGATGGAGAAGATGATGATGCTTCTCACCTTTTGAAAAACCTTCCTCGACGATGCTGCGGCAGATATCAACCTCTTCGTCTATGGGACGCGACGCCGTGAGCTAATGCTTTTTCCCTGAAGAGCATATAGTACAGCACTTTCATCATCGTGCAGCACCTACCTGTAGCTGTGATTAGGTCTATCCTCTGTACGATGATTGGATCACCAACGCTGGCAAGGTCGTACGATGGTGGAGGACTCGATGGGCTGGACATAGCTAGAGTATTGAGATTACGATCGATGATATAGGCTGATTGAGCAACGTAGTATTCTCAAGCTCGATGAAACCATTACATGACGCCAGGCCTTATATCTGCCACGATTTCGATAGCGGAGTGTCAATCTGAGACAAAGCTTTATCAAGATGTTCATTGAAAAGGAGAGTAGGCTTTCATCATCACAAAATCTACAAATAGGTCATTGGTCTTCGTGCGTGTTGGTATCGCGCGATCCTTTATCTGAACAACGTAATCTGTCTACATGACTCCTCAAGCAGTTAGCAGCAGCAAGCTTGACCACTTGAAATGAATGGTCTCAGAGTCCTAACAGATGCCCAACTAGTAGATTCGAGACTACTTTATCTTCTCCGGTCTGCAAACTATACAATCATCTTTTCTCAGTCGCTCCCAGATCTTCCAAAGAGGGTGGAGGAATGTCTGTTCGGTAATGATGAAAGATGGGCCATTCCCCGTCATATACAACCGACATATTATTAACTTTCCTCATAGGCTTATCGTTGCTCTCTTCACCGCCAAATGTCTTCTTCGACTCCACTTCGAGCTCCATGAGCATCACAGCCCCAGGATCCTCTTTGTAGCTCCTTCCTTGCATAACCTTGAAGGCTATTCGGATCACGGGGAATGCCCTCCTGTGCAAGCCTTTGCTCCAAACCTTCTCGACTTGCCATTCATAAACCCTCTCTTGCAAGTCCGATACTTTGAGCTCTTCCGACACGCGCTTGACCAAGGCTTTGAAGCTGGCTCTATCAACTATGCACCTTGTCACTTTTTGGACGGCTTCTAGCAGCGAGTCCATGACTGTGGACCAGGGAACATTTGCTCTTTTGTCCGGAATGCGGACTTTGAGTGGCTCGGCCTTGAAATCTTTGACATAGTCGAGATACTGAGGTACAGTCCAATCTTCCCAGTCATACCAGAACCTGCTTGCAACATTCTCAAGCTCATTTGTGCTGGCATCAAGATGGACGAGCATCTCTGCCATGCAGATATGTCCATTCCCTTCCTCGGACATATCCGGATCAGGGACGAGAAGCAGCACGCTTACTTCCCTTCGGAAACCCCTGGTGACGTTTCTGCCGTACTCTCTGGCAGCTAGATGCACAAACTCAATCCCAGCCTTATGCCTTAGCTCCAAGCACACCCTTGCTAGAGCATGCGCGACTTTCGAGGGAGCAGTCATGTGCATCGCTCTTGTCCAGACTTTATCGAACCGGTCGTAAAGTAGCTTTTGCAATTCCTCGCTTGTGGTTGGATTCTGCCGGGGAGTAGTACAAGAGCATCCAGTGCATCTTAAGTTATGGGGAGAGAGGCGGTAAGGTGTCGTCTGTTTGGGAAGACTTGGCGGGGTTATATGGGCTCTGGAGGGGCTCGATAGCTGAGAGGGAGTGGCGCTGGCTGGGGTCGACTCGCCGGGCGAGGTGAGAGTGACGTTTGCGAGTGGGAGTACAATATCAGATATGGAAGAGGCTGAAGAAGAAGACATGTCGATGAGTACAAGCGGGTTCTGAGGGACGAAGTCTGATGGAGGTTGGTGAGTAAGCCTATTTGTAGAATGTCAGACAGAATGACGCTGGGTTGGCACTTGACTGAAAGGATCACAAGAAAGGACACATAATGCACAGATACTCACTGAGGGGATAGACAGGCTTGAAGCCGCTATTTGGCTCCTTTGCAGGCTGGAGTGGTCACTCAACATGGCCATCGCCTCGCTCATCCGAGCGTCGTGACATCATTTCCAGCGATACTCGTAAGGTACGCCGCACGGTTTTTTTAGGCGATGGCGACTAACCTCAGGAAATTCGCATTCATATTGCCGTATACGGCATCGCATATCTCGGCCTTCTCTTGCTCTTTTCCCACAGACCCTCGTTGTCAAGGATAGCGCTATCTCGTCTCATCCGAAAGGGCCGCCCCCAAGAGCCTCATCAGCGATGAAGACCGCAACAGCCCTGGTGGTACTAATGTCCCTCTTGGAGGTGCTGGCTGCGCCTTCGCCGGAGCTTGCTGGATCAAGAAGCGGTGTCTTGCAGACAAGGGAGTTGGGGAGAACGAGTAGGGGGTGGTTTGTGAAGAGACAAGAAGATGCTGGAGGTACGTTCTTGCGCCTGGAACTCGTCAAGTGATCCGGGTGTACGCAGCTAATCACAGACTTGTCTGCAGATCAGGCCCAATCATCTGGAAGTACATCGGCGGCGACATCTGTCACAGAATCCATCGCAGCGTGAGGCCTCCCAATCATCTTTCAATAGTTCAAGTTCTGATTAGATTTAACACAGCTCTGACGCATCGTCCACTGTCTCCTCAAGTGAAGACCCGACATCGACTGCGTCGGCTACCCCTTCGACGTCGACTTTTTCCACGGATTCAGAGACAGGGAGCTCACAAGCTGCCTCTACATCACAAACGTCTCAAGATCCAACCTCCTCTACTCAATCAAGCTCAGCTGTATCAAGCTCCGACGACAGCTCGAGTAGTGCGACTCAAAGCGCTTCCCCGTCTACTTCACAATCCTCTGCGACACAGTCGGCCTCGCCTTCCTCGGCCTCACAGTCACCCAGCACGTCGGCGCCTGCCTCCTCTTCGGCGACTGGCTCATCATCGTCGTCCTCGGCTGTTCAGTCATCTGCCGCTGCATCTTCGAGCTCTGCCAGCACAAGATCGGCCGCTGCCAGCTCCCAAGCTACCTCGAACCAAGCTCCCAGCTCCTCGCCAGCCAGCTCTACCCCAGTCAGCTCCAACCCAGCTAGTTCTTCCGTCACAAGCTTGGCGTCAACTACATCAGCGCCCGCCAGCTCGTCTCTGCCAAGCTCTCAGATAAGCAGCAGCTCAGCGCAGCGGTCTTCTGTCGGTTTCTCATCATCTCCTGTCTCTTCGTCCCCCGCCTCATCATCTGTGTCATCGGGTTCCCCATCAGCTTCCGTACAATCGAGCTCTCAGATAGCAAAGTCATCGGCAGCAGCGACATCAAGTGTATCAGGGTCAATCTCTGGCTCCACTACTTTGTCTGCCACGCCCTCCGAAAGCACGTCCGCTGGAGTCATTGTGACGCCTTCTGGTACCAGCTCGTGGTCAGGAAGTCTGTCGGCATCTACTTCCCAACCTACTGGTGCCTCTTCTGCAGCCGACACTTCCTCTTTCGTCGCTGGGTCAACATCAGTAGGGGTATCGAGTTCATCCGCCAGTCCCGACTCGTCTTCTTCTAACCCTTCGACCACCAGCGCAGGTGTCGCAGCCACTCCCACCTCTAATGCTGCTTCCTCCAGCTCGAGCGCTGCCACCGCTACGTCCATACCCTCCCCCTCTTCCACGGCCGATATCCCCATCGTAGTCACGGCCACCAACACCTACAGCACTCCGTTCACGACAACCGACTCGGCTGGATCAACCACGACAGGACAGGGTGTCAGGACGGTGGTGGTGGTGGTCACGGCAAACCAGGCTAGCTCGACGCAGGCGGCTGCTACAAGCTTGGCGACTGCAAACGCAGATCGTGAGTCCCAGCATATGTAATTCAAAGCAGTGTACTTATGTGGATTAGTGGAGACGGTCTATGTGACTGCAACAAATCCCGGGGCTTCGACGGGTAGCGACGGGGGGGTCGTCATTGTTACTGTCACCCAGACCAACCCCACAACCGACGAGACTGGCGGCACATCAGATGTTGTCGAAGTACGTACCCGTCTTTCAAGGCAGGGTGATTACTGATGTAGTATCCAGACCATCACGAAAGCCGTCCACGTCACAGTCGAAGCAGGCTATACCTACACCGCATATTCCACCGCAGGTGATGGCGGATCCCTGCAATCCGTCAACGCTGGGCAGCCAAGATGGGACCGCGCATCGGGTCACCTTCTGGCTCTTGCCACCATTACATTGTCCATCTTGTTCACGACACTGCTATAATGATTTCGAACGACACAAAAACACGGACTCGGATCGCTTCTCTTGTTGAAGATGGGGGCTCGGCCTTGCCTGTTATAATGAAAGCAAACGATGATAGACAAGCATTCTCTAATACGTGTATCGCACATTGACATGGTACGCAGGAAAATACTCCATGACGAACCTTGCTGACTACTTGTAGGGTTTTGACATTGGACTGTATAATACAAGCATGCATGCAAGATTCATCAATCACGTCCCTCCCCCTAGGACACGGTCCCACTGCCTCCTTGTCCACCCTGTTTGCCGTCTCCTCCCGACCCATACATCCTGTTATCCGCCATGACATCCGCTACATTACCATCCTCGTTGGCAAGATCAAACCGCCATGAGTTTATGGCTAAGTGACCTCCTGGACCTGCCTCGTGTGCAGACGTTCTGCTGATCGCTGAGCTTCTTGCACTGGGTTGGGCGCGGGACCCTGTTCTTGAAGCTCAGACATGTTGGTGGTGGCATTCAGACCTCGTCCGTGGCCACGGTACGATGTTCCAGGGCAGGAGAAAACGGACCCTAGGGAGGTGAATGCTTAAGAAAACGGGGCGGAGAAGCCATCAGCCGTAGGGCAGCGGAGCGATCGGGAGGAGTGTGAGGACGGCTAAGGGGGGTCTCGGCATCCGTGCTGATGTCTGCAGTGGTGCTCCCAGCGGCTGACATCGTTGTCTCGAGAGCTCAAGACAAAAGACATGTGATAGAATGGCTCTTGCACTCCTTTCTATGGTTATTCACCTGCTCTACTGCAAAGTTCGACCGCCCAAAGCGGCCATTCTAAGAGCCGTGCTACTCGTGTGAGGGTTACGTTGCGAGCGCGACTTGAATTGCTGTAGTAGACTTCAGATCGGCGGTAATACAGGAGTGGACCTCCGACTGAGAGGCAAAGGAAGCACAGTGCTCCTGCCCAGTTCCAACGGACATGGCAGCAGCGAGAATATTGTCCTCCTTCATATCTTCAACAACTTGCGATTGGACCCCGCTGCAAGATGAACATCGACTGAACGAGTATCTACCTTCATTCAATGCTCAGCAGTAGATATACATCGGTCACTGTTGCATAGTACAGATTGAGATATCAACATATGCCCAATGATCGTCTAGGCCGTCGTCCCACCACCCCCATCCTGACCTCCCTCTTCATCCTGCCCTTCCGGAAACATATCATCCACAAAGTCCCCAATTTCATCCTGAACTTCCTCCTCCTCATTATGCGGATTGAAATGCCCCTGATTCACCAAGTCCTGTATATTCGTCTGGTGCGCTGCAAGCTGTGGGTCCACATCCGGCTCTGTGATGGCCGTCGCGATACTGGCAGTCCGCCCGTGGTCGTACGGCCGGTGCTGGGAAGGGCGGGTGGTGGCGGGAGAAGTGGCAGAGCGAGAGAAGACGGATGCGGGGGAAGCAGAGTATTGGGATGCTGGGGAGGTGGGACCGCTGGTGGTGGAGAGGTTGTATGGCGTTTGAGGACGGTTTCTGGATGTGCTGCTACTGGCGTTGGCGCCGTCCGTAGTAGTATCCTGCTGGGAGGGAGTGAATTTTGTGTCTCCAGGATGTGATGAGCTCATATCGTTGTTGCTGCTGATGAGGGACAATTGATGATGTCTATCGGCGTGATGGCCCTGTTATATATACTTGGAGATCTTTGTTGTATAGGGTATCTATACAAGCTATCCCTTTCATAGCGCCTCGTGAATTGGCATGCGCCGTTTTCCACCGGAGATCACAGATTCAGGCTAGGGCGGCGTACTGATCACAAAGGACACATCATATCACCTCAGCCCCCTTCAGATGCCGTTCACAACATTCGTCTCTCGAAGTCCCAAAAGGTCAGGTCAGTCACATAAGGGTATTGCAATCTAGCTCATTCACAAAGAACAATTATCACGTAGTGCTGAGATAGGCTCGCACCACAATATCTGAATGTACAAGATCTCATAATATTGTTCTCCTTTGCGAGAAGGCATAAACTCCTGTCATCATTGCATGTCGACCGCTGGGTACATCTCATGTCCTTTGTTCTTTTGCATTTCCGATTGCACCTCTTGGAGCTCAAATCTACATTGATAGTGCGTGAAGTGTTGATGGTACGGACTCGGAATATTCGCTGCCGAAAATGCCGTCCTGTGATGGTACAGCTCCGACACCGCCGCCGCGATCTTGAGGCCAATCCGGAATTTTTCGCTTGCGTACGTCGTATCAAAGGAGATTTCGTCAAACCGTACCTCTGGTGCTCAAGGTGACTAGTGACTAGATCTGACTTGTGGAGGAGAATGAGAAAGGAGCTTGGCTGTTGGTTGAAGCCATCGACAAAAGATCATCGGCGGGTACCTGTTTCGTTTGCTCCGACAAATTATTCTGCATCCTGTATCTTCTCGTCTCTTACACCAGGGTGCGTTGTCCAAACTCCCAACTAATATCCGGCCTGACTCAATGATATCTCAAGCCTCTCGGGGCGTCTAACGAGTCGGCCGATTAGCCACTACATCCACACTCGTTAACCTCGATATCCTCGCTGACATGTTGTTGAATGATTTTGCATTCCATCATCGGGGCGCTCGAGAGAGGCTCCGCCGAGCTGTATACCGCTCAGCGCTATGTGTACTGGCCCGAGGGCTGTGGAGATATAGAATTCGCCGCAGATCTGCGGCCGATTTCCATAGGAATCAAGGATTCAGGATGTGCAAGTCAGAGGGTAAGGCTCTGCCAAGACTTTGTCGAGTTGTGGCGCGGCGCACCGCTGGCCGCTGAACAAATCATTTCGCCTGTCGTCAGCAAAGCGCGCGGTGTCGTCTCTCTTCGCTTACTCTAAGCTCTACAAGGAGTACATATGATGTGATGTGGAGAGCCTGACCTGTAATGAGGTATTGGGAAGCTGTGGAGCCCGCCGTTGTATGATGAGTTGCCACTCGTCTTGAGCTCAAAGCAATTCAGATGCTCGGATGAATGGTTTGAAGCAAACTTCCTCGAGAGCCGGCTACCAACTGAATCTTGTTGCTGTTGAATGATCCTACCAGCTATCAGATAAATCACGGAGAGTTCGTTCAAGAGGCCGATGTACATCTTTGCCTGTCAGTCACCAGGTACGAGGTACAGAGTCTTGATCTTGAAAACCGAGATCAACCCATCCACGGAGAGCCGAGAGTTGGCTCCTCACCCAATTGCCACAAGTGCGCGGTGGTCGCCACATTCGACATCATGTGTTGAGTGATGTGGGGGGTGATAAGCATTAAGCATCTCTGTGCAGATATGGTTCTGGTCACGGGCTTTTTATGTTTGTACGAGGCGCGCCCAAAGGAAGTTCTTGGGCTGCCAAGTACTTCGGCTTTCCGCGTCTCTGTCTCCCGAAGAGGAAATTTCGATAGCGAGCATGGCGAGGTGCACCATGTGGTCCCTTCTCTGCGCCATTATCAGATAATCCACCCCCATCTACAAAAAGTTCATCTTCGGCCGGCGCACCTCCCGCTGCCCTGAGTGATTCCTATTCAGCTCGTTCCGAACCACTTCTCTGGTCGACAATGTCTTGCCGGGAAATTTTTGTCGCATTCTATTCGGTGCCTCTGCTGCCGGGAAAAATCCGACTCCAAAAGTCCAAGCCGAGCTCCAGGCTATATATGACATGCAAGCGTTCCATCGGTCCATCCACCTTCGACTGTCTGTACTCACTAGATCCTCACAATGGCGACCAACCGCCAATCCTCCGAGCTTTCGACCTTTGAGCGTCCGTCGTTCGTCCACTCCAACACCGAGGACCACACCCAGAAGCCTCTCGCCGATGGCAAGATCCTCGAAGAGGGTGGCGAGCATGTCCCCGTCCTCGACAAGACTGAGACTAGCTCTTTGAACTCGGCCAACACCGAGACCCCTTCTGGTGTTTTGCAGATGGAGGCTTTGTGTGAGTCAAGTCTCACCTCTCCGAAATGCTACTGACTTTCTACCAGATCTCGTCTTTGGCAAGGGCTACAAGCTTTGGCTTCTCTTTGGGTAAGGTCTACGCCCCACCACGCGAGACCTCCTTGTCTGACTTGCCCATAGCTCCATCGCCGTCGTTGCGTTCGTCTACGCCCTCCAACAATCCACCACCTCCACTTTCCTCCAGTTTGCCACCTCCTCATTCGCCTCGCACTCTACTATCGGAACAATCGCTGTCGTCACTTCGATCATGAGCGCCGTCGCCCGACCTTTCGAGGCTAGGCTGGCGGATCTCGCTTCGCGTCCAACGGCCATGACATTCGGTATCATCACTTATTGCGCTGGGTATATCGCTGTCGCTGCTTCGAACAGTGTAACGGATGTCGCAGCCGGTGAAGTCTTGTACACCAGTACGTTGGGTTGAGCATCGCAGATTGATGACTGACATTTGCGATCGCGTAGTGGGTAACACTGGTATCCAAGCTAGTGAGTGCGTCTGGCAGCCACGAGAAACACATCTGACAGCGATTAGTCATGGCCATCATCATTGCCGACTGTACCTCTCTCCAGAACCGTGGTCTCGCCAGCGGCCTCTACTCGTCTCCTTATGTCGTCACTGCTTGGATCAGTGGTGAAATTGCTTCAGGCATCAACGCCTTTTCAGACAATGGTTGGCGATGGGGTGTACGACCATCTCCTTCTCGAGACTAGTCATATGCTAATGGCGAGCTACAGTTCGGCATGTTCATCATCATGGTTCCCGTGCTCATCTCCCCTCTGATCATCATCCTCTACTGGGCTGGCTACAAGGCCAAGAAGATCGGTGCTCTCTCCCTCGCTTCTTCTTCTTACGCTCGCCGACAAGCTTTGGGTATCGAGGAAGAGCAGAGGACGTTCACCCAGAACATTGTGCATTACTGGAGACAGATGGACGCCTTCGGTCTCCTTTTGATGGCCTTCTCATGGGCTTTGATGCTTTTGCCATTCACCCTCTACAAGACTGCCGACAAGGGCTTCAAAAACCGTCAGTCTCCATCGCACATAATCAACAAGCGCTGCTGACTTTCTGAAAGCCTCGCTCATTGCCATGTTCATCGTTGGTGGTCTTCTCCAGATCTCATTCATCCTCTGGGAGTGGAAGTTTGCCTCCCACCCTCTCATGCCCAAGCGAGTCCTCAACAGATCCCTTATCTGCTCTTGCATCATCGACTTTAGCTACTACCTCTCTGGCTATATCCACAGTACCTACTACTCTTCTTGGATTTACGTCATTGTCGATTGGTCTGCCCGTGATTACCAGTACTGGTCCAATATGTGAGTGCCTTCTTGTTGTCAAAGAGACAGAGACTGATGGAGGGATAGTATCACTGTTGGCTTGTGCTTCTTTGGTGTCTGTGCTGGTTTGATCCAGAAGTATACTCATCGATACAAGTACCTTCAGATTTTCGGTCTTTGCACCCGACTTGTCGGCCAATCTCTCGTCTACGCTTCCACCCGAGGCCACACTGGGTAAGCGAATCCCACCCATCTCTTCCTCTGTTCTATGCTGACTGTTCAACAACAGCGACGCGATGCTCATCATGGGTCCCGTCCTCATCTCTATGGGTGGTGCCTGCTCCGTCGTTGGCTCCCAAGTTGCCACCCAGGCCTCCGTCCCCCACGCAGACCTCGCCGTCGCCATGGCCCTCCTCGCCCTCTGGACCCGTATCGGGGGTGCCATCGGTTCCGCCATTGCCGCCGCCATCTGGGCCAACCAGCTCCCCAAACACCTCAGCGCCAACCTCGGCCAGTACATGAACTCTACCCAGCTCAACGCCATCTATGGCTCCATCACCAAAGCCCGCGCTGTCACCGAGCACCGAGACCTGCTGAGGAAGGCGTACCTCGATTCGGCGTGGTATCTGGAGGTGCCTGCTGTGGTGTTGTGTGTTTTGCCCATTGTTGCGGGACTTTGCACGAGCAACTTCTTCCTCGGCGACACGCACAATGCGATTGAGGAGAAGAAGGTTGTGCTGAGGTCTTTGGAGGAGACGGATGAGCAGGTGGTGAGGGAGAAGGTCAAGGAGACGCAAGAGAGGATCAAGATGGAGGCGGGGAGAATCTAGATGGGGTTGAGTGATCTTTAGAGTGGCTGGTGCTTTTTTGGTATCTCCGAGTTCAATAATTAATCATGTGATGCACATCATTGTCTTGTATTGCCTGTGTACTCTTTTGTGCATTCCATGCATGGCGAAGCGATCGACGAGAACGAGGTGCCACAGTTGAGTCGATGCGGTATTGCGGCAACCCGCCGAGCCCCGCCTGCCCCGCGCTGCCGAAGCGAAATCATGACTCGCTTCCGTCTTTATCTCCATCCAATCTTCCTTCTTGTGTCCGTTCTGTCCGTTTCTTGTTTCATTTTGCCCATCGCCTCAACCTATCCCTGATCTCTACTACACACAACAAAATGGGCTATACTCTTGCTGTCGTCGGATGCGGTACCATGGGCGTCGCCATCCTCTCCGGCGTCTTCTCTTCCCTCGAAGAACGCCAGTCCCTCCCCCCCAAGCTTACCTCTTCCTCCGACGAGCCCCCTTCCGGCATCTCCACTCCCACCGCCTCCCAATTTTTTGACGCTCCCGAAGCCTCTCTCCCCAGCCGCTTCATCGCCACGACAGGGCGGGAAGAGACTGCACGCAAACTCCGCAAGACCTTGGCCGACATCGGCAAGCTCGGCCAAGGCGTCGACGTACACGCTGGGGATGGGAATCTCAAGGCGGTACAAGAAGCTGATGTGGTGTTGGTGTGCTCAAAGCCAAATATCGCAAAGTCGATCTTGGAGCAGGAGGGTATGGGCAAGGCGTTGGAGGGCAAGCTGGTGATCTCCATTTGCGCGGGTGTGAAAATCTCGCAGCTGAAGAGCTGGGTGCCCGAAAGCACCACTATCGTGCGTGCCATGCCCAACACTCCCTGTAAAGTAAGTCTTTCCTCCCGCACCTCGCCTCATGGAGATCCCGCTAACTTTTGATCAATTAGATCGGAGAAGGTATGACCGTCGTTACTCCCGTCTCCGACGCCTTCTCCCGTACCCTCATCCTCAACATCTTCACCTCGTGTGGCCGATGTCGATTCTTGGACGAAAAGCACTTTGACGCTGCGACTGCGCTTGCCGGGTCGGGTCCTGCATTCGTAGCGCTGGTCTTGGAGGCGATGACGGATGGAGGAGTGATGATGGGTTTGCCAAGATCTGAGGCTGTCGAGCTGGCCGCCCAAAGTGAGTCCAGACTTGATTTGTAGACATGGGGAAAGCTGATGGGTGATTAGCTATGCAAGGAACCGGGCGTATGGTCCTCTCCAGCGGCCAGCACCCTGCTCAGCTGAAAGACAGCGTCACCAGTAGGTGTATTCCGCTTTTGTTACTGCATTTGTGATTGACGATTCATCACTTTTCTCAGCTCCCGGTGGCTGTACCATGGCTGGCTTGTTGACGATGGAGGACGGCCGAGTGAGATCAACGATGGCCCGTGCTATCCAGGTGGCTACAAATCAGTGAGTACCCCTTCGTCTTGCGTCAATCCCCAGTTACTGATATCATACCCTAGTGCTGCCGGCTTGGGACAAGAAAAGAAGTAAGCAAAACAAAAAGGGGGAGATGGCGATCACCCACATATCTAACGGCGGGAGGCGCCTGAGATGTAAATTCATGTAGAGTCGTTGTCCTTGCCCATGCATGCATCTATCACTAGCATAAGTCGAATGGGGAATGTACCTTCTACATAGCTGCATGTCTGGCTATGGTGCAAATGTCTCCCCCGTTGCTGAGCCAGTCGCAGCCGAGCCAAACACGGGAGTCTTAAATTTCAAAAGGAAAAGTGCGGAAGGTCCCGATCTATGTGCGTTCATATCAGCTTGATTGACTTTTGACAGACTTTTGACCTTTCTGTCAACTGGTATGTCTCAACACCTTCTGCGACACCTATAATTCCCAATATCACACGGGTGCATAGTATTCCAACTGCCCACTGAGCTTGAACAAACCCCGCAAATATCAGCACAATGGCTTCTTCTGAACGAGCTGTCGGCCCCTCGACTATTCCGAAAGACGCCTCCATCGCTTCTGTGAGTCGAGGTCGATGGTATAATTATCAGAAGCTAATGATATGTAGCTCCCGTCCACCTCCTACCCCCCAATTTACCAAGGCGCCTCCCTCCTCCTAGCCCTTCGCCTCCAAGATCGCCCCATCCTCCTCATCGGCGGAGGCGTAGTCGCCGCCTCCCGAGTCTATTTTCTGCTCGAATCCGGTGCCCACATAACCCTCATCGCCCCCCTCCCCCTCGACCCTTCCATCGCCCACTACATCTCTCACTCCGACACTGCCTCCCAATTCACCCACCTCGCCCGCGAATTTAAGGGCCGGGAAGATGAAATCAAAGTAAAAGACTTTGATTTGGTTTTGACTGCGATCGACGATAACGATCTTTCCAAAGAAGTTTGTGAGATATGTAGAGAAGCGAGGGTGATGGTGAATGTGGCGGATATACCACCACAGTGCGATTTCTACTTTGGGGCGCAAATGCGAAGGGGACCGCTGCAGATCCTCATCTCCACAGGCGGTATGGGCCCTCGAGCCGGTGCCATGCTTCGAGACCTCATCGTCGATGCCCTCCCCTCCGATATCGAGTCAAGCTTGCAGGGTGTTGGTGCTTTGCGCAGGGATCTGAGAGAGAGGGCGCCGGGTGTGGGAGGAGAGCGAGGACAGAGGAGAATGGATTGGATGAAGCAGACTTGTGACAAGTGGGGACTGGCGGAGATGGGGAGGTTCAATGATGAGCCGACGAGGACGAGAGTACTGGAGGAAGGGTGGGAGAAGGGTGTCGTGCTCGGGCCGAGTGATCTGGAAGGGAAGATCGGGGGTGGGTGGTGGAAAGGGCTCAAGGGGAAGGTTGGGCCGGAAGGGGTATGGGGTGTGAGTGGTCTTGCTTTGGGCGCTGCTATCGCCACAACTGCTACACTGTGGTTGAGTCGACGTAGATGATACATGCAGTAAGGCCCTGCTGGCTAGAGCGGTACGAAATAAAGAGCCAAATTTCGAAAAGAATGCTCGCTGTATTCATGTGTTACACCAGACCAATCAAGCCCTGCCCACCAATCCATATTTTCTCCTCGCCGCAGGCTCGATATAGCCCCACCCCAGAGGAGTATCCCTCACAAACATCGCAAACCTATAAGTAAGCGGGAGGTGTACAAGGTGCTTTGGAGGCTGGTCCAGAGCACGGAAAAAGTTGAAAGGTGGGTATGGGATGAGGGGTTGAGGGGCGGGAGAGAGAGAGAGGTGATATAGGATCGTGTCGGTGACTGGTACGAATCAGTCACAGTTTTGCGTTCGCTACAGAAAGGATACGAACCTGTCTTTGGGCTGAGGAGGAGCTTCTCCCAGGAGTGTTTGATCGCAAGCTTGGTCTCGTCTCGCCCGCCGGTCTGGGAATCAACAGTCTTGAGTCTAAAGTCATTGTCGATAGTCCCCGGACACAAAGCTGTACTCCCGTCAGCGCTTTTGCGCAATGATAGGCTGACAACTCACAGAAGAATCGCACACCACAGCCTTCGCATTCGACTCTGGCGCTCTCGACAGCCTGCAGAGCGGCCGCTTTAGTAGCTGCGTAGATGACGCGGTGAGGGGCGGGTACAGTCGCAGCGACGGAGGAAAGGTGGTGCAGGACGGGAGACTTTGAAGACGATGCCAAAACAGGAAGCTTGGAGGTTATGTCAGCCTAGCTTCCAGTGATGATAGCGCACTCACGAAACAGCTCAAAGACAAGACAGTTCCCAGATAGTTGACATGAGATACAGCTTTGGCCTCGTGTTCTATGGCCTTCAAGCCATCCAGACTTGGTCCCTCGGACGAGCTATATGCGAGTGCAGCTCCCGAGGGAGGAGAGTTCTCGGGGGTAGAGCGGTCGAGAGAAACACCCCCGAGCTCCAAGAGTTGAGAGGTTGAAGGAAGGCCGGCGAGGATGTGAACTGTGTCGACTCCTTGCCATGCTAGGAACAGTACTCATCAGTATAAATGAGTATATAGGAACAGGGATGTTCACCCTTTACGAGCATGTCGCGAGCTGCAACCAAGTCTTCGGCATTCGTCACATCTCCGGCGAAGACGAGCACTTCTACACCCTCTCCGCCCACACTCAGACACTCCTCCTTCACACTCTGCAAAGCGTCTTCTCTCCTTGCCACCAAGAACAGCTTGGCGCCCTTACGAGCATACGCCAAAGCGAGGTCTTTGCCGACACCAGAGCTCGCACCGAGAAGGAGGACGCGCTCTTGATTCGGAGGGATTACTGTTTCACGTGAGGGAAGGGGACGAGATCTGAGCAGCAATAGCGGTGGTACCACGAGAGCAACTATCCAGCCAGGGAAGGTCATCCTGGCCGAGTTGGAAGTAAATGAAGAGCACATGTGAACACGGTAATCGCAAGAGTGCAGTGGTGGCTGGCTGGTGACTGGACATGGCCGGGTGGAGGTCCGAGTTACGTAAGTGCACAACGCGGCGGTTTACCGAAGGAGGACGATCGCGACGATTCGCGGCGATGGTGGTCGTTGTCATCGTCACGTTAACTGCTTTTTATTCTCATCTTCTCTTCCATTCAAAACATTACGGCAATGGCTGTCCTCGCAAGGCCCATATACGCCCTCAACAGACCACTCGCATTCCAGGCCTGCTCCAGAAGAGCCCTCGCTCCTCTGCGGCCGAGGTTCGTCTCGAATGCTGCAAAGCCGTGAGTCGTTCAAGTGTACATGGAATATCTACTGACCGCACATTTAGACCCACAGGTATGAAGTCAAGTATCAGTGGAAGCTAAAACTAACATGTTATAGCTGTCGTGATGATGAACATGGGTGGTCCCTCAACCGTAAGCTCAAACTCAGCCACTCGCGTCACTTTCTGACCACACAAACAGGTTGGCGAAGTCAACGACTTCCTCACCCGTCTCTTCAACGACAACGACCTGATTCCCCTCCCATTCCAATCCATCCTTGGGCCCCTCATCGCCAAGCGTCGTACACCCACTATTGAAGAGCAATACGCTTCCATCGGCGGTGGCTCGCCCATCCTCAAATGGACCCAGATCCAAGGCGCTGGCATGTGTGCCCTTTTGGATGAACTCAACCCTGAATCAGCTCCCCACAAGCCATATGTTGCTTTCCGATATGCCAAGACCCTCACCGAGACGACACTGGCAGCGATGAAGGCCGACGGTGTCAAGCGGGCTGTGGCGTTCAGCCAGTATCCTCAGTACAGTTGCTCCACTACAGGAAGTAGTTTGAATGAGCTGTATAGAGTCGCCAAGCAGGAGAAATGGGGAGGTGCGGGAGAGGTGGAATGGAGTGTCATTGACAGGTGGCCGACCCACCCGGGGTTGGTCGAGGCTTTTGCGCACAATATCAAAACTGCTCTGAAATCATACCCCGAACAAGACAGGAATAACGTCACCATCCTCTTCTCTGCCCACTCCCTTCCCTTAGAGATTGTCAAGTGAGCCACATCTCCTATGTGATTGTTGCAAAAGCTGACATGTAGGAAAGCCGGGGAGACCCGTACACTGCGGAAGTGGCCGCTACCGTTTGGGCCATCATGCAAAAGCTCAACTTTTCCAACCCCTGGCGTCTTACCTGGCAATCGAAGGTGGGACCAAAAGCCTGGCAGGGGCCTCAGACAGCGGCTTCCATCGAAGGATATGCCAAGCAGGGTCAGAAGAACATCTGTTTGGTGCCCGTGGCGTTCACGAGTGACCACATCGAGACGCTGTTCGAGTTGGACCAGGAGGTGGCGGAAGATGCTGAAAAGGTGCGTGTCCTTTCCTCAGACGACTTGCATCGCTGACGAAAAGTAGCTTGGCGTACACCTCACCCGAGCCGCCTCACTCAACGACAACCCCATCTTCATCCGCGCCCTCGCCGACATTGTCTCCACCCACCTCAAGGACTATGACGCTGGTCTGATAGGTCCTGCCAGCCAGCAGCTCTTGTCGAGATGTCAGATGTCCAAGAACCCCAGGTCAGAGGCGACCAAGAAGTGGTTGGGCAGTGGGGGTAAGAATATGGTTTATTAGATGCTGCATGGATTCTTGCATATGTTGTTGAACGCTTCAACGTGCTATACAATCTCCAGCCTCTCTCTCCGCTCCTCCTTGACTTCGCCGTCTCCACTCTCTCCTTCCAGCTTGTCAACTTCCTTCCGGATTTCGCTCTCCAATTGTAACCACTCGGCCCTGTCCAGCTGTCTCAAAGCCTTCACATAGAAAGCCACCTTCCTCGGCACCGCCCCTCCAACCTTCCCAGGTGGTAGAGTAAACAGCCCATATAAATCCGACAATATCAGAAGCACTCGGGGGTACGCTGGCGTAGTAATCGGCGGATGCAAAAGATCTGGTATCAAACCCAACAAATGTCGTAAAGTCTCAGCCAACGGCGGCACATCCATATCAGACGATATAGCTTCCCACACACTGCCCCATGCTGATCCTAGACTCTCATGCCGGGTGGTCGATTTTGGTTCGACCAAGAATGGCGTGAGCAGGTTAAAGTATGATTTGAGCTCGGATGCTTCGACGTCTTGTGATTTGAGATGTGTTGGGTGGAGGGAGGGGAGGCGGTAGGATAGGAGGGTGTGCAGGTAGGCCATGCTAAATTAAATCATGATCAGCTTAGATGAATTGTGAAGTGTAGACTATTCGAGTCACCTGAGAGCTATAGCATTATAGGCAAGTTTCTTGCCCACACGGTCTGGAGGGTTTATACCCTCCAATACAGATTCCGGTATCGTCTCAGGCTCTTCTGCAACTCTCGGTCCATCATTCTCGTCCCCCCCGTTGCGCTCTGTCCAAGAAGCCTCTGTCTCCCACCAGGGCAATACATCTGGCGGTTGTGGCAACAGATCTTGAGACGCTGCCTCCAGAAGCGCTTTCGTATCTTCAGAATCCGGATTTTGCAGGGCTTGGATGAATGCTTCGCGGTGTTTCGGAGGTAGGAGCTTGAATATGTCGTTACTTCCCATCGACTCTGAGACTCTCATCAGTTTAGGTGACTCGTCGCTGGGAGATTAAGCTTACCAATGTCGACCCCTTCAAACAACTTGATCAACTCTTCATCTTCATCCTCCGCCTCGCTTCCGACCTCTTCCAGTCCATTACCACCTTCCGCCTCTGTCTCTTCAAATCGGCGTAGCATGTCCATCATTTGCTTTTTCTCTTCGAGTCCGACTTTGGGGTCGGCAGAGATGGAGTCGAGGACGGTGGTCTTGTAGAATGGTTCGGAACATTGGTCGTGGGTCTTGAGCAGATATCAGCGACATACCGCTAAACACATGTAATATCCTGTACCTCTGATCTGAAACAGTCTAAAGAGCAGTATGCCACATTACACCTCGGACAAGTATACCTGCTGTCGCCCTTCCGACATCTATAATATTGCGAGTCAGCTCATGTGTACGACCTAGGAAGAGGGCCTTACATTCCACAAATCCTCGCCTGTGGGACACTTTTGGTGGGCTTTGGGACGTCGAACGGAAGACGTATTTGGCGTGGCTTGGGGTGGTTCATGGACATGTCGCTGGTATAGCTGACTGAAAAAGTTGGTGGTCGGTTACCCGATTGTAATCCAGTTGTGCTACGTAAGCGGAACCAAATGTTAATTAGCGGGGACAAATATTGCATTACAACGTCATCAGTCCCCAAAGGATACGCTTGTTATTGTCCTCTTCTGTTTATCTTCTTCTCACAATTTCAGTCAAACTCTATACATCACTCTCATCTAAGTCTCCTACTCAGACTGCTCTTTAATATCATCATATCGCCACCATGACCGACTCGGCCCAGCGCAACTTTCGCTCCCAGCTCTCCGGATTTCGATGGGCCAATTCCGTCCAAGACGACTCGGCACAGCCAGCTGCCCAACAATCATCAAACCCATTCGGAAGAGCATGGAATAGCATGTCGGGGTATATACCTCTGAGAAACGAGGGAGCTAGTCAGGAGGAGGAGGCGTACTTTGCTCTGAGTGTAAGTCTGTTGGAGACGGTGGCGTAGGTGTGTCGGAGCTGACTTGAAATTCGACAGAGATGGGAAAGGTATGACATTATGGGATATTAGACCTTTGAATGGTGGAGCTGACTGTAGTTCCGTACAGATTCCTTGGATTCCTGGCGTGTTGTGCTGGCGGTATGGCCTGTTTTGGTATCGCCTTCCTGTTCCTTCCGATCCGTAGGTCCTATAATTTTCCAGTGCTGGCCTATAGCTCACCAGAACTTCACAGTGGCCATCAAGCCACGGAAGTTTGCCCTCGCTTTCACCCTCGGAAGCTGTCTGTTCATGCTGGGCTTTGCCATCCTGCACGGACCGTGGAATCGTGAGCCCCATGGTAACTCGCCCGAGTCTTCGCTGACCATACTTTAGACCTCAAACACATCTTCTCCCCCGAAAGACTTCCCTTCTCTCTCGCCTACTTTGGCTCCCTCATCCTCACCCTCTTCTTCGCTATCGGCATACGCTCTACCATCGGTACCCTCGTGGCTGCGATCATCCAAGTGGGAGCGTTGTTGAGTTATGTGGCGGCGTATTTCCCAGGTGGACAGACCACGTTACGGCTGGGTCTTCAGATGATGTTGAGAGGAGCTGGGAATCTGTTGCCCATCTGAGTCTGAGGATGAAAGGCGTGGGGTGCTTTCGTGTTCGAATGACAGGCGAGGATTCTCTTACGGCGTGCCAGCTGAGCGAGGCCATTCATTCATCATGCATGATCATACTAATCGCCAATGTGTATCATAATCAAGACAGCAACAAGGAGAGACGACATACTAAAGATACCCCCACGCCTTTTCAAATATATGCACTGCCTCCTCGGCACACCCCCAAGAGCTCTGGTACCCAGCACCGCCATGCCCGTAATTATAGATCACGTCCACGAATCTCCCTCCTATATAGAAATCAACAGGCTCTTGCTCAAGTCGTGGCCCGCCATTCCTCGAGGGCCTGAAACCGACGAGATGGTCGAGCACGAGATCTTCTAGTGGGAGGTACTCGGAAGAGTTATGCTGAGGCTTTCCTCGTAGATGCGGCGGGGCAAGCTCCGGACAAAGTTTGAAAGCTCTCCGAAGAATGTCCTTCTTCGTAACCTCTCTCGGATATGGTTCCCAATCTCCTTCTTCCCTCGTCCCGCCCAAGATGACCTCACCATTCGCCCTCGGTATGACATACGTCCGCTCCCCTCCCTCTCCACCTGCAAGATTCCCGACTTGACAAGTAAACCCAGAACGGATCCAAGGGGCTTTGATCTTGACGATCTGACCTCGGGTGGGATAGACTGTCTCGTCTTTGACCCCGCCGAGGGTGATTGCTCCAAGACCGACGCAGACAAACAGTGTGTGAGGGGGTAAAAGCCCGATGAGGGCGGTGGTGGATGGATGGCATATGAAATCGAGAGAGGGAAGGTGATGGCGGTGGATCTTGACTTGGCCCCTCGTTAGAGTAGATATACGATCCAAGAGGCGGTTTAGATATGTGATCGGGGTGATGGTGAGGGATGTGAAGGTGACGCCGTGATCAACGCCTGCTGGCAATCGATCTTTTGCTACAACAGCGAACTTGGCGCAGCAGTCAGATTCGGCCGTCGTTATAATCCCAGTAGCATCGCGACTCACGTCAGGATGCTCCTCGTATATCTTGAGATGTTTCTTGTGCCGAACAAAGAATTCGTTCTGCGTAAGCGCCATCAATCCTGAGGCTTCACCATACTGCCTCCATTCTTCATACATGGTTCTGAAGGCTACTGCCTGTCAGCGCTTGGTGTACTTAGATCACAGGGCTATAGCACTCACTGGTCATATCCCACCTTCTCTGTCTCCGATCGCCGTCATCAGCAAAGCTGAGATGATGTGCCCCAGCAATGGTCGAAGCATACTTGGCATCGATAGGGTCATTCGGGAGATGGTCTGCGAGGATATGAATTGGGCGTGGTTGTCGCTGGTATGACTGCGACTCGAGGAGACAAACGGCGGTGGTGAGGCCGATGATGCCTGCGCCGATGATGACGATGGGTCTTCCTTCGGGCTGGCTCATTATAACTGCACTGTGAACATCCAATGTGAGATGGAATTGTCGCAGAAGGTCAAACCAAGGCGAACAAGTTATCGCCCATGATAGCCGAAATGATTGGCGATGAAGTCGTGAAGTTCGGCAACTAAACGGCCCCGGTCCGCGTCTCCGCCATTGCTCACTTGTCGAGTCGTCTCAGGATCCGAGAAATGGATAGTCGTAAGGGAATTGCATCTATGAAAGTAATAAAATATCGAACTGCCCTGAGAGGCATGCGGAAAAATCCCAATTGGTATATGTACAAATGCTACTGTATGTTAAGGAAACATTACCACTTCTGAGCCCCTGATCAGTCCTTGTATCAACGTCTGGCGCCCCTTCAATCACTTCTTCCCATTCTTGTCCATTCAAACGCCAAGCTCGGCCAACACCTGCGCCTTTTGCTCGGGAGAGAGACCTTCAAGGATCTTCTTGAAACCAGACATGACACCGTCCTGGTTGGTACCACTGAGGAAAGCATGTCAGCGATGACCCTATCGCTAAGCGTTTCAAACTTACACCCAAGAAACCATTGTCTCTGAGCAGAACTGGTCTCGCAATCTCTGCACATACTCCTCAATTACGTCTGAAGACTTTTCAATGAACGCAGCCTTCTCGCTGTCGGAAGAAGCAGCGTCGAAGGGAACAAGCTGGTCGAGGATGGCTTGTCTTTCGGGGTAGCTGAGCTCGGGGTTGGCGTTCTGGAGCTTCTTGAGGACTCGCTAAGTGGGTTGTCAGTACGTGCGCCATTCCCAAAACATGCTACTCACAATCTCGTTCAACTTCTTCCTCAAAGACCAGTAGATCGCCCGTCGAGAGTTCTCCCAGTCACAAGGCTCGCAGTCAGCCTTCGCCTTCATTCGCCCGCTTCGGTCGTCTGCATACAACCATCAGTAATTCATTAATATTAAGTGGCCAGGATACTCACGAAGGTCGGCAAACTCGATAGCAATAGACTGGTAAGCGGGCGCAAGGTGCTTCTCACGAGCTTCCAACTTGGCGGTAGCGGCGAGCTTCTCTTCAGGAGTGGCGTTGGGGTTTTCAGCCTCCTTCTTGAGTCGCGCGTATTCTGCGTCCAATCGGGCCATGGTAGCCTGGACCTTGGGTCGTCGGTACTTGACTATGCAATTGTCAGCTGGGACTCTATAAACGTCACGGCATCAACTCACCCTCGACAATACCCTCAGGCTCCAAGACACCACCTCGAGAGTCGTTGTCGACAAACATGGTCATGTGCTCGGGGTTGATCGAGGGGTCGAGAACGACCCAAGCACCACCACGCAGCTCTCCGTTGGGGACAAGGTAGACAATGACGGGCTGCTTGTAGCTGCTGAGTCCGTCGACGATCTTGGCACCCTCCTTTAAGATAGCCTGGGCCATGTCGGACATACCGCCAGAGAAACCTCGGAAGTTGGCAAAGATAACAAGAGGAAGTTCCTCTCGGTTGGCATCCTCGATGGCGGTGGCAGTCTTTCTGGAACTGTCGGGGAACCACACGGTACCGGCAAGTGAGACTCGGCTCTCTTGAGAGTTCTCGTTGGCAGGGTCGGCGGGGTCCACTCGCTCGATAGATCGGGTCTCGGCGGCGATGACGGCAACGGGGATACCGCTGATCCTTCCTCGACCAGTGACAATGGTCTGGGCCCATCCGCCTAAGTAGAGTCAGCATTGCTGCCGTCAAGACAAAAGCAAACTCACCCATAGTCTCGAAGAAACTGCCATTGTCCAAGATACCAGACTTCCAAGTCTGCACGCCGTCCACCTCCTCAGTGCAACCAGCCAAGAAGTTTCGAGGGTCGTAAGGAGCCTTGGTGGGCTTCCACTCGACGGAACGGTCCCAGTGGTCACCGGTGGGGAGAACAGGGATAGCTCGAGACTTTCGCTCTGCAGTCCTGCGTCAGCGATGTCAAACACATGAACGGGACTACTCACCAGGAACGAAAGACAAGTAGTTGATGATCTGCAAAGCACCGTCCAAGTCGCTGGCAGCGGTCAAGTGTGAGATACCGTTCTTGTACATGATCTGAGAAGAGGAGTCAGCTCGGAACCACGCACATTAGAAATTACTCACCTGAGGGCCACCCAACTGGATGTTACTGGTGTAAACCTCCTTACCCAGCACCTTGTTGATGGCTTGAGCACCGGTAAGGATGATGGGCTGGCCTTCGACCTGGACAACTCGCTGACCAAGTCGGACAAGGTAGGCACCGATACCGACGGATCGAGCAGTGACCATGGAGATGGTGAAGATGTCGTCGTAGGCCCTCGAGGTTTCACCGGCAATCAAACCAGAGCCTCGCAAACACTCGACACCCAAACCGTCCTTGAGACCAATGATGGAAGCAATCTTGTGCCTCCTCTCACCGTTGACCTCAATCTCGTCAGTGATGACGCTTCCAGTACCCATAGCGTTGAGCTTGTCAAAGTTGGCGTCGGTCAGGTACAGGTAGTCGAAGCCCTTCTCGGGCTTTCCAGGCTCGCGCCAAGAAACGTCAAAGAGGGCCATCACCTCCTCAGCAAGACCGATACGGGCACCAGAGTTGGCAGAGAGGTAGATTCGGGGAAGACCGTGCTTTCGGGCGTACTGAGTGGCCTTATAGAAGTACTCGTCTTCGGAAGGACCGAAGGAACCGATCTGGTAGGTGATATCGTTGGAGATGACAACGACCTGTCGGCCCTTGGGGTACTCGGGAGTCTTGAGAGTGTAAACCCAAGCAACCATACCGCAAGTGTTCAATCCAGGAGCCCTGCTGACCTCTTGAAGTTCTCCTTGCTCGTCAAAGACCAACTCGACAGCGGAAAGCAATTCAGTGGGGATCTTGACGTTGGGCATGACAGCCTGCAAGTTGCGCCAAGCCTTGTCAACAGCCTGTCGGAACAGGTCAGGGAAGTCGTAGACGTAGGTGGTACCAATGACATGAGCCTGGTATCGTCGGGGCTGGAGAGACTCCTTGGTGGTGTAGGGAGAGTTGACGGGCTGGAGGTGGAACTGTCCGCTGTCGCCGATAGACTTGAGAAGAGGCCTGCCCTTGGCATCGTCGACCTCCTGGTAAGCCTCGTACTTGACGACGAAACCGGAAACGTTCTCGATGAATGATCGGATAGGCACAACGTTACCCTCGCCATCCTCAATCACAACCCTGATCTCGGCCTGAGTGACACGGAGCCTCCACAACCTCTTACCGTGACGCTCAATGAACCCAGCCAAAGCCTCCTGCAAGTCGTCAAAAGTGACGTTGAGGTTGTAGACGCAGTTGACCATGATGTGGTTGCAGTCGTTCTGTCGGTACTGAGAGCTGACAACCTCGAGGGTATCGAGGATATCGCCGACAAGTCGGTCAGTCTCGGAGATGAGGTACTCCTTGACTTGCATCTCGCCCTGGAATCGACCAGGTCGAAGAAGAGCTCGGACAAAGAATCGCACATCGGAGGTGTTCTCACGGCCGACAGCGTGGTAGACGTGGATCTGTCGGTTGGACGAGGGCTGAGGAGTGATCTTGAAGTTGGAGAGTCGTCCAAGCTCGAGCTGGTAAGCAAGAGCGGGCTCAATGTTTCGGATAGCCTCCTCCTCCTTCCAGACACCATCACTCGACTGACGCAAAGTCACGTACGACGGGTACTGGTCCTGTCGGCAGACGACAAAGCTGACTCTTCGAATACCCTTGTTGCTGATCTGCTCGGCGTACTGGTTGGCGAGAGCGTGGACACGCTCGTTGAGCTCATTGTCGGAAGTCTCGCGGTCGCCGTTGAAGAGACGAAGGGCGACGTTCATTACGTGGGGGTGACGAGCGTCCTTGCCAAACTTGTCCTGGTGCTCGACGGAGCTGAAGGCGGGGTACCTAGCGAGGAGCTTGGGGAAGCCCTCGACGAGGTCGGCAAAGTGGTTGTAAGAAGTCATGAGACCGAATCGGATAGGCTCAGCCTTGGTGCTGACAACGTAGCTGAGGTCAGACATGCTCGCGATACGAGTAAAGTCCTTGGTAGAGTCGACTCGGGGAGTACGGGGCTCGTCCTGGTTGCCGCTGAGCTTGAATCGCCAAGTCACAATGTGGGGCTCGCCACCCTTCTCTCCAGGTTCATAGTCGAGGTTCAAGACATTGTAGACTCGGTACGCTCGTCGAACGTAGACCTCGAGGGCCGCAAGAGAGACGTAAGGGTCCTCGTGGTCAAAGAAGGTGCTAAGCACATCGAAGACGGTGTATCGAGAGTCGGTAACCTCCTTAAGCACGTCGGCAGAAGGAAGTCGCTGGCCGGAACCCTTCTCGCCATAGTAGTTGGTGGTGATGGAAGACTTGAGGAGGTGCTCCAACTGACCCAACCTCTCCTCGTAACTGGGGAGAGATCCAACGATCAAAACCTCCTTGGCCTTGAGGGCGACCTTGGCAGTAGGTCGGCTGTCGAGAGCCGCAAGTCGGCTCAAAGCCTCGTTGACACCGCTCTCAGGAGTCATAGACGCACGGGGAGACTCGGACTTGATGACATCAAGCAAAGTCAAGAGGAACTTGGACTTGGAAGCAATCTTGCCGTGCGAGAGCACGAGCTTGACGACCTGATCAATGTTGTCATTGTCCTCTCGGAGCTTGAGCACCACATTCTCCTGGGTGCGGGTAGAATCGGCGAAGGGCTCCTCGACATCGGCAAAGAAGTTGAGCATGTTGGCCCAAGTCCTCCACTCGTGGACCTTGAGCCCGTGGAAGAAGGCGTCGATCAAGACCTTGAGGGGAGCAATGGCGGCGACGACCTGAGCCCTCTCCTTGGGTGCCACATTCTCCTCGATAAAGTTGTCGATGGTGCGCTGGAGCTTGAGACTGGGGAACTCGAGCTGCTTGGCACGGCCAGAGTCGAGGATGCTTCGGATCTCGTCCTCGAGCTTCTGGGGAATACGGCCAGAGAGAGTCGACATGACCTCGTGGACGTTCGAGTAGGGGAGGTCGGGATCCCTGAGGACAGACTCGACCACTCGGAGAGAAGCACCGACAGAAGCACTGTTGTCGAAACCGGAAAGCTGGTCGTAAAGGACCTCCAAGTGCTCACGCAAGCGCTGGTGTGGCTTGGTGCCGTATCGGCCGTGCTTGAGCTCGAAAGTGGGAAGAATACCCTCGAAAGGCTTGGCAAACTTGACCTTGGTGGGGTCGTCAAGGGTCAAGATACCGAGCAACTCGCCAGAAGACAGGGTCTGTCCGGGCTGCTTCATGAACTGGGCGATACCACTCTCGCTGGCAGTCACGGGCATGATCATCTTCATGACCTCAATCTCGGCATAAGCCTCCCCAGCGTCGACGTGGTCACCAGAGTCGATGAGGTATCGCACGAGTTTACCGGGCGAAGGGCTTCGGAGCTGAGTGGGGTCCTGCTCGTCCTCGATAACGGTAGTCTTGGAGTCGACGGAAAGCACCATAGCGCCCACCTCTTCACGGTAGTAGACGGTGTGGGAAGCACCCTCGAGAGAGATCAAAAGACCACCGTCGCTCAAACCTCGGCAGCCGACAAAGATGGGGCTACCGTTGAGGTAGAGCGTGAAAGAGTACTCGGAAGACTTGGCCATGGCGAACGAGTATCGCACATTTTCGTAGATGAACTCGCTCTTGAAGAAGGTCTGGAGAGAGTCCTTGGGAGGGACCTGACCCTTCTCGAGGACGGACCTGTACTTGGAGATGGAGGCCTCAAAGGCGAGGTAGGCCTTGACGACAGCACCGCAGACGACAGCGACGGTAGGGTCGGGACGCTCAGAGGTCATACCCTCGGCAATAAGACCATCAAGCCACTGAGTGGTGAGGGTGTTGTTTTCGAACTCGGGCTTCTCGAGCAATTTGATGAGGTACTCGACGGTAGTCCTGAATTCACCTCGAATACTCAATTCCTTGAGAGCAACGACCATGGACTTTCGCGCCTCGCTTCTCTCCATACCGTACGCAAAGATGTGACCGAACTGAGAGTCGGCATACTCGTGGAGACCACCCGCAGAAGAGACGGAAAAGTAACCCCAGACGTTCGAGTTGGAACGGAAGTTGAGCTCGGTAAGAGCACCAGAGGAGGGCTTGAAACCAGCATCGGGGTTTTCACCAGTGATACGACAGGCGATAACGTGACCCTTGGGCTTGGGCTTGCGCTGGGTGTTGACAGACTCGGGCTTGTCGCCGTCAAAGTCAATGTCGGTGATACCGTGAGGGTCCATGCCGTACAGGGTACGGATGTCGCGGATTCGGTGGAGAGGGATGCCCATAGCAATCTGGAGCTGGACAGCGGGAATGTTGCATCCACTGACCATTTCAGTGGTGGGGTGCTCTACTTGGAGACGGGGGTTCAATTCGAGGAAGTAGAACTTGTCGTCCTGGTGAGAGTAGAGGTACTCGACGGTACCGGCAGAGACGTAACCGACCAATTTGGCGAGTCGGACAGCGGCCTTCTCCATCTCTTCGAACTTCTCAGGCCTGGCAATAGTGACAGGAGCCTCTTCGATAATCTTTTGGTGTCGACGTTGGACGGAACAGTCTCGACCGAAAAGGGAGATTGCGTTGCCGTACTGGTCGGCAATGAGCTGGACCTCGAGATGTCGGGCAGAGCCAGCGAGCTTCATGATGAAGATGGGCGAGCCTACAGAGCGTCAGCAGAGTATAGGACGAGCTTCAAAGATACACACCAGGAACTTCTCCCGCAACCGCCTGGAACGCATTCTTGAACTTTTCTGGGTCATCCACCATTCGGATACCCTTTCCACCACCACCTTCACTAGCCTTGATCATGACGGGCCATCCAATCGACTCTGCCTTCTCAAGACCCTGGTCCCAAGAGTGGACACACGCATCCTCGTAAGCCTTGTCGGGGACGGTCACGAACCCTTGAGGGGAGAGCATGGTGTCGGAAATGCCGGTACCGGACCAGGGCATACAGGGCACTTCGGCGTGCTGAGCAACAATTGTAGAAGAAATCTTGTCACCGAGAGATCGCATAGCGGAGCCGGGAGGACCGATAAAGATGATCTTGGATTTGGCAAGAGTCTCGGGAAGACGAGGGTTTTCAGAGGCATGACCCCTGTGTTGAGATCAGCTTTGTGCCCGGTAGAGTGGGGATGTAACTCACCAACCAGCCCAGACGGCGTGGACACCCGCTCGCTCGGCGACATCGACAATAAAGTCGACGTTGGCATAATTGTTGTTGTTGGAACCCCCCGGCACCTCGACATATCTGTCGGCCATTCGAATGTACTCGGCGTTGATTCGCAAGTCTTCGGGGGTAGCCATGACGGTGAACTCGATCTTGCGCTCATCGCCAAAGGTCTCGTAGGACCATTTTCGGATAGACCTGATTTCCTTGACGGCGGCGATACCGTTGTTGGCAATCAAGACCTAGCAACTTTTGTTAGGTCGCGGAACGAGCGGGTAGGAAAATTGAGACCGACCTTGGTGATAACAGTGTGACCCTTCTGGGCCTTGACAAAGTCTGTGACCCGTCCTGAAGGAGCAGTTTCAACGCTGTTCGCGCCTAGCAAATCAAGCGTGTCAGCACTGGCTTCCCAAGCGTCATTCCATTCCGCCAGCCATTCCAGCTCGGCAGCCCGCCGCGGTCCAGTGCTAGGACCGCGCCCAGGAGGTAGGGCAGAGGACGACTCACCGATGAACTGGGCGACGTTGGAGTGATCGTATTTATCGGTGTGGCCATTCACGGCAGCCCCGTTGGGAGTGGCCGAAGACATGGTGGACTATGACCCTCGGGGGTGGATTTTGGCGGGGGAGTGTGGTGAGGAGGGCGTGAGGGGCGGGGCTCTCTTGGAGGGGCTCGGCGGGGCAGGGAGAGAGGAGGATGAGAGATGGAGATAGAATACGTTGGGTGATAGAGAGAGATGGGCGGTAGGTAACTTATGTAACTTATGTTGGGGAGTGCCCGCCTCGGCTCAAATCCCCATCGCATGAACGCGACGTGTCTCTTACGTAACCCGCCCCCACCAAAACATCTCTCTGCTGCTGCCCAAAGCCGAAACGGCCGACAGTGCCCTTTCATTTCATTTGTGCTGCCCTGCCCCAACGACCCGTAGTGGCTTTTCATTTATTTGCTGCGATCGCTCAACGAGCTCGGGAGGGCGGGAGGGCCAGTCTCGAGCTGGTTATTGCTGGGGACTGGGGTATCCCGGCGAGCGCACAAGCGATGGATTGAACGACGCGTCAAAAATGTCCATCCATGTTACTCTAGTTGCTCTAAATCATCTTTCTCAACTTGACATTAGACACCACACGCTCTACGTCCATCTGATCCCAGCCCCTCCCTCCAGCCAGACTGACACACACTTTTCCCAAGTGCGACGCATCAACGACCATCGGCGGGTACACCACCTTGAGCGCTGCACAGGTCGTCCTCAACCCCGGGCCCCAGAGCCAGTGCATACGCGTGGAATGCTAACGTCACATACATCAATCCTGAACACGGCGGGAGAAAAATGTCATCAAAACGTACTTCTTTGGTTGGATTGATGCCCGCCGGCCTTACGGACAATGGCGCAAACGTCTTGGACGCCATAGCCGCAAGCTCTCTCTCCGTCTTTCCCTTGACTCTGCTATACGCACTCCAACCTTTCTCGTCTTGTCTGGCACCTTCAGCGGACATGAAGACGAAACGGAATGGTTCTGCCTCGGTCCCGAGCGCAGAGAAGGCTTTCGCAGCTTTGAGCGTGTAGTCGTGCGTGATCCTGGAAAGTCGATCATCAAACCGTCTTCTCCATATGTATCCCTAACCTTTCCAAGCCAAAACTCACTTGTAATACTCCTTTTCATCAACCTGCGTCTGACTAACCCCCAACGCCCAGATACAAGCCCCACTCCCCCTCAATCTCTCCACCAACCCCGGCTCCTCATCAATCCCATCGAAACCCTTTGGATACTCGTTCGATGGGATCTGGATATACTCGACTTTGGGGCTGGTCTCGTATGGCGGACGACGGGCGAGGACGGTGATGTGGGAGATGTCGGGGGAGGCGATAGCTGCTGAGAGGACGGCGCTGCCGGCTGGTGGTTGTGTTAGCGTGAACTCCTGGAGAGGAAAGGGAGGCGTACCGTTGCCTGTGGCACCTGTGATGATGATCTTTGACATGCTTAGATCTACAAGAATGGAAAGACGAGGGAAGGGATGCCCAAAAAGTTGAATGCACAAATCGAATATATAGTGCGCTGTTGACAGTCACAGACCGACGGGCATCGGCACCGACTTCGGCCCCTTTCTCCTATAGTACGTACTTGTCCTCAGAGGCCCTAGATCTCATCATGAAAAGACCATGCAGGTTATAGGAAGGGTGAAGGCGAAAATAGTAAAGATGTCGTTCGGTTGGTGGTTGCCTGTTGGGAACACTTAAGCGCTCGTCGTCGTCGAAAGAGGATAGACTCTCTACCATCACGGACTACACTTGGCGATGCAACGGGGTCCCAGTCGACAGCAAGAATCAATACCCATATATTTCAGGACGGCAGAGGTCCCACACTATACTACCGTCCCGGTCTTGATTCAGGTATACAGTGCAGGAAGCCATGACTGTGCAAGAGAGAATGTCCATTTTACGCAAAGATTCATTTTTCATATTTTTGCAGGGCTGTTTAAAGGCCCAATGACCGCTTCTCTTCCGCTCTCATCACTCTAGACTACAAGCTTAGGCACCAGTCTCCTTGAGGGACTTCTCGTGCTTGGCCTTGACGTCGTCGATACCACCGACCACTGCAGAGATGATTAGCCACAGCCTTGGAAAAGAAGAAGGGACATACTGTAGAAGGCGTTCTCGGGGATGTGGTCGTGCTTACCCTCGAGGATCTCCTCGAAAGCGTTGATGGTGTCCTTGAGGGGGACAAGTCGACCCTCAATACCGGTAAAGACCTGGGCCACAGCGAAGGGCTGCGACATGAATCGCTGGATCTTACGAGCTCGCTCGACAGTCATCTTGTCCTCTTCGGACAACTCGTCCATACCGAGAATGGCAATGATATCTTGGAGAGACTTGTAAGCCTGGAGGATCTGCTGAGTTCGGGTAGCAATGTCGTAATGCCTCTGGCCGACGACTCGGGGGTCGAGCATTCGGGACTTGGAGTCGAGGGGGTCGACAGCGGGGTAGATACCGAGCTCGGCAATACCTCGAGACAACACAGTGGTGGCGTCCAAGTGGGCGAAGGTGGTGGCGGGGGCAGGGTCAGTCAAGTCATCGGCAGGGACGTAGACGGCCTGGACGGAAGTGATAGAACCCTTCTTGGTGGTGGTACTGGAAAAAAACGTCAGCGCGGTGCGTCAATTAACGAAGAGTGTACGTACATTCGCTCCTGCATACCACCCATGTCGGTGGAAAGAGTGGGCTGGTAACCGACAGCGGAGGGGATACGACCGAGCAAGGCAGACACCTCGGAACCGGCCTGGGTGAATCGGAAAATGTTGTCAATGAAGAGCAACACATCCTGGCCTTCGTCATCACGGAAGTACTCGGCGATAGTCAAACCGGTAAGAGCGACACGGGCACGGGCTCCAGGGGGCTCGTTCATCTGACCGAAGACTAAGAAACATTAGGGCCACGTCATCGGGTGAAAAAAGAAAGAAAAAAAAAACTCACCAAGAGCGACCTTGGAGTCACCCTCGAGGTTGATGACACCAGTCTCCCTCATCTCGTGGTACAAGTCGTTACCCTCACGGGTTCGCTCACCGACACCGGTGAAGACAGAGTAACCACCGTGGGCCTTGGCGATGTTGTTGATAAGTTCCTGAATCAAGACAGTCTTGCCGACACCGGCACCACCGAAAAGACCAATCTTACCACCTCGGGCGTAAGGAGCGAGGAGGTCGACGACCTTGATACCGGTCTCGAGGACTTCAGCCTGGGTAGACTGGTCAATGAACTCGGGGGCATCGGCGTGGATGGGGTTCTCCTTGACACCCTTGATGGGGCCACGCTGGTCGATGGGCTGACCGATAACGTTCATGATTCGACTGCAACGCGGTCAGTTTATTGCAAAAAGAGGATTTGCAAAGACATACCCAAGAGTAGCGGGGCCGACAGGGACCCTGATGGGGGCACCAGTGTCGACGACGCTCTGGCCTCGGACGAGACCGTCGGTACCTTCCATGGCAATGCATCGGACGGTGTTCTCACCCAAGTGCTGGGCGACCTCGAGGACGAGTCGGCCGCCTTCAGGGGCGGTCTGACCCTCACCGTACTGGACGTCGAGGGCGTTGAGAATGGGGGGGAGGTTGTCAGAGTCAAAGTGGACATCGACGACGGCACCAATGACGGTCTTGATCTGACCGGTCTGGACACCAGCGGGGGTGGCGTAGGTTCGGGCAGCACCAGCTGGAAAAAAGACGTGTTAGCGGTCGTTTCGGTTTGGGCGCCGAACGGCCGAGAAAACCCGAAGTCGCATCGATATCGCCCCTGCGCACGCGTCCTCTGCTGCTCGCGCGTGCTGCTCGATGCAGCCGTAAAAAGTATGTGGAAGCACACTCACAAGCCTTGGCGGGGAGGGTGACCCTGGAAGAAGAGGCGTTGAGGGCAGGGAGCACGGTCTTGGCCTGGGCGGCGGCGGTGGTGAAGAGGGCAGCGTTGGCGCGGGCGTTGCGGAGCTGCTGGCCCCCTCGCCTGGAGAGACGGATGGCGGATCGGGTGACGAGAGTCATTTTGTCTGAGCGGTGAGGTGAGGAAGACGGGGGAAGAGAGATGGGGACGGAGACATGCCAGCCTTGCGCAAACGCCGACTACTTCCGCCCGTGGCACCCCCACGTGGCATAAGTCTCTCTTTCTTCTCTTGCTCACCACACCACACCATGGCAGCACGCAGAGCATACTCCTCCCTCCCGGCCCCCAACACCGCTGCAGCAGCCCCCTCCATCAACTCTGCCTTCATCCCCGCCGCCGACCTCCCCAAGCCCCTCTTCCGCCGCATCGCCTCCCAGCTCGCCTACCTCCGTTCCCAGGGCAAAGACCCGGCGACCGTCTCTATCCCCAACCCCTTCCTGCTCCACCGTGCGGGACAGAGGGCGGATGTGTCGGCACTGACGGGCCTCGAGAGGTTTTACTGGCGAAAGCCGCAATTTTCCGCGAGGAGACAAAAGTTGCTGCTGCAGCAATATGACCCGTCCATACTCCCGCCTTCGCCGCTGAACCCCACGGCAGAGCCCAGACCGATACAGTGGGAGGACGGCACGGTGATCAACTGGGAGGGAGAAGTATTGGAAAAGGCCGCCAAGCAGTCACCGTATGACGGTAGAAAGGTCATGTTCAAGGGGCATATCGATGAGAGGAATAAGCCGCAAAAGGTCGCAGACAGGCAGGAGAGGATGAAGGGGATGGACAAGAGGATTGCCGCTTGGAGAAAGGTGCGTGAATGGTTTTGTGCATTGGGCGTGGCTGACGCGTGGTGTAGAGCAAGGCCGATGACAAGATCAGAGCAAGGCCATCATTACCATTCTAGACACATGCATCGCACGACTATCATCATGCTTTGGGATATGCTTGGGTACTGACCGATGTAATGCTTCTTGGGTATCCACTTTCGTACTGGACAATGTTTCATCTTTCATGCAATATACTAACGTGTAGACGGCAACCTCCACTTGATGATCGGCGCTTCTTCACACTCAAGGTCACCAAATATCACTCGTATCCCCCCCGCCCTGCAAATTACCCGAATTATCACCCGCAGCAGTATCCTGGCTGACAGCGGAAGAGCTTTCCGGAGGGTTGAGACCAGCGCCATCCCCGTTCGGGCAAAAGACGACCGTATAGTCTGTACCGAAAGCACACCCAAAGACGGCATCTTGGTACATGTCGCTAGGTCACAACAGTCAGCCTTTTGCTTTCGAATCATGACAAATGGGGAGGGTCAACTCACTCGTCAGAGTAGACATAAGCGTCATTGCACATGCTCTTCATCTTCTTGTAGAATGCTACGCTCACCTCGTCAGTCTCGGTCCATCGAGGAGACGTCAAGGGGCTTACGGATATAAGTATCAGGACAATCTTTGTGATCCACCGTAACCCCATTCTTCTGACAACACACTGGCGAATTCAAAGGGTCCGCATTAACCAACGCCCCCCTCGTCTTATCCTCTGTATCCCCATCAGCTCCTCCTCTCTCTCTCTTCCTTGTCTTGTAGCAGAAGGGGACTCACGAAATTCAATACTGTTCCCACAAGCACTGTTACAACTATAGATTTTGTCATTACCCTTGGGATAGACCAGGCTGGGATCGCATTGCGTCAAGATGTCGGTATCGGCACCGCATGAAGGCGGGGTACAGGAAGAGTCGGAGGGGGTTATGGTCATGGGGAGGTTGTAGCCATCGACTATGGAGACTAGAACATCCACAAGTTTAGAGGACGGAAGAGGGGAGGGGGAGGAGGCGTACTGTCGTAAAAGTCTTGGCCCATGTATTGGTTCAAACTGATTTCGGCGAGCGTTGCACCGGCTGTGCCATACTCTATACCATCGCTGTATATCCATGTCAAACTCGGGTACCTCCAAGCAGAGTAAAAGAAGACATACCAGGCGATAGCGTTGTTCTTGCACCCACCAATAACGCAGTTGATACCATCCCCATCCTTCTCGCACCCCGTCCTCGCCCAAATCCGCCCGTTGTTCCCTGTATCATCAACATGAGCCATCTGCCTACCAAGATAAGAAAAGACCCACATCCATCAGGCAAGTTGAACGTATACTCTCCAGGCTGCTGCTCCCACCCCGCATCCTGCGCCGACCCGTCGGTCTTGGTGATCGACCCGCCTTGGCCGCCGACGCCGATGTAGAGGGAGGAGGAGCATTTGTTGGAGATGGTTATGCTTGAGGCGAAGATGAGGGTGGAGGAGAGGAGGGGGAGGAGGAGGTGAGAAAGCATTGTGGGGAGTTTGATTTGGTGAGTGGGAGAAGTTGAGGGGTGAGTGGGGTTGAGGATGAAGGAATTTTATACATCTCACAGAGTCCAGCAGACCTGTGGCTCGACCGAGGATCATGACACACAGCCACAAACAATTTGACGTAGAGTATAAATCACTTGTACGAGAGACCACGTTCGCTATCTCCTCTCAATTTCAGAAAGAATGCCGGAACAGGTCGCTCGGCGGCTACCCGGTCAGCCACCAAGCTATGCAAAGTCGCTGTATACCCAGCGCCTATAGACGTAGAATGACGGATGTTTGCTCGCCTCACGCGTAATGTAGGACACTAGCAGCTAGCAGCTAGCAGAAACCCATATGGCATCGAGGTGATCGTTCGCAATGCCATAACCCCTTTTACCGCGCGCTTCTTTGCTTGCCGGTTGCTTCTCTGGTTGATGTTTAGACGAAGATGCTTCAGAGTATACGCATTCACGGGCATGGCGGATATCTGAGATCTGGGCGAGCGGAGGCTAGAAGCAAAGCTACGGGAGTTCTTGGAGGGTTCTACGAATAAAGAACAGTCGAAAGCCGATCGACGTCGACGGAAGCCCGAATGTTGTCACGAGTACCAAATGGTTTGCCAGTGGCTACGGGAATGTGTGACGAGAAGTCGTATCCTTATGCAATTGAGCCTTTGTTGGTGTATCTCGCACTCCGTCATTGAAGGCGTATTGCAGTGCATGACCACCACGGTCGGCATCGGCTTTCTCCCGGCCCCAAGAGCATGACTGGCAGCCGATGTGTTGATTCTCTCGGCAATCCATCATTCCTGCATGCCCCAAATGAGCAGATCTAGCAACAATCTTGATTGATTTTTGTTGTATACACATACTCCAGAACTGCGATGCTACACAGGTACCCGTCGTGAAGTTGGACAAGTCATCATCGTGATTGCCGCGCTGGATGGCATCAATCATGTACACTCAACAACACCACACGGTGCGGTAGCCATACACATTGTCCATCCTCACCACACCCCATTTAGACTAGTATTTGTCTCTTGGCAAGCCCCTTCGAAGAACCACCGCCCTCCGAAGTAATCACCCAACCAGCACCCAACCCTCCTGTTAAATGGGGGTCGTGAGTCGAATCCGGCCGCCGACCTCCTGATTTCAGCTGCACGAAATCTTCGACAACAATCAATAGTCTACAATCGTTTCTTCTTCAACTCAATCCACCTGCGCAACAATGTACTACGACCTCTTCACCCCCTTCCCCATCCCCGCCGCCCAAGCCGACCAATCTGCCACAAAAAAGAGCAAAAAGGCAAAGGGAAAAGCACCCGCGCCCACACCATCTGCCTCGCCCGCGCCTGTCAAAGAAAATTTGGATTGCTGGGATGGGCTAGAGAGGCAAGAGAGAGACGATGTTGCCAGGAGGTTGGCCATGATTGGGCATTGTGAGTGCAAGAGCTTATACGATGGCGGGGGTGCTGACGCGGGACAAAGTGGGATACTCTGTAACAGCTCTTACGATATCCATTAGCGAGGCCACCAACCATGTTCACCCCTCCCCCTTTCTAAACAAACTCCCTTTCCCTGATTTGGACCCCCGGTCATCAAAGTTCTCTGCGCCGGGTTCGTCAAATCCTGGGAGACAACCGCTGGTACAAGTCGCGAGGTATCATGTCAGATTGGACGATGGGAAGGCCCATTGCTTTGTACGAACTTCCATCACTCGAAGACCCGTATACTGATGCGAATACAGACGGCAGCAAATACCCAGGCTCTGAGAGCATACGATATCCTCTCGGTTGCTCCGACCACAGAGAAATCATTCCAGCTCGCTTGTACGGATCTCAGCAACCCCGGCCCCAATCAGGTATGCGCCCTTACCAGAACCATGAAAATTGTCTGACGGTCAACAAAGATATCAATCATCACACTCCCACTCCACGAACGCCCATTTACTTTCCGATTCAACCACAAACAAATGCGTCAAGCCTCGCGCAATGGTGCCGTCGTGAGTATCCAAAGTATCTGCTCTATTCCAAAGCTGACCTTTTGCGGCAGTTTGAGCTCCTCTATTCAGCTGCCCTCTTCTCCCCACCATCAACGCCCCCCGACCTTGCCCGCCGATACCGCCAAAACTTCCTGTCCAACGCCCGTGAAGTTGTGCGTATCACGGGAGGAAAGGGGATCATATTCTCCTCTGGTCCCAGCAGTGGGAATGAAGCGGGTTTGAGGGGATGTCTGGATGTTGTCAATCTGGGTACGATGATTGGAATGCCGGCAAATCTGGCGAAAGAAGCTGTGGAGAAGACGCCCAAGATGGTGCTGCTCAGAGCTCGTGAGTTTTGCACCTTTCATCTCTTGACCGGAAACTGATCCGAGATAGAATCACGGAAAACGTTCAAGGCGATCATGACGATACCCAAATATGTTCCAGCTCCTGTGGAAGATACGGAGACAGAGTCTGGGAAGAGGCCGGCTGATGTGGAAGGAGCTGGCGGGGAGAGCAAGAAGGTAAAGGTCTCGACATGATGTTGATGCAGTCTCTTGAATTCAACGTGGATCTGCAGATGAGACTAATTGCTTTCCTGCTCGCCCGATATTGTGCTACTGATACATAGTTCTACATAGTCTTGGTCTCACTGCAGACCGAACAACAAAACTTCACTCAATATCCCTCTCCTCGAGCCATCTCTTTCCCTTCAAGGAACCCATACCATCCAAATTCCTCCCCTGAACGGCCTGCGTCTCAACCACGTTCACCTGCACATAGACGTCTCCGTCTGACGTGTACGTTGTCGTTACTCCCTCAGCAGGCACGCTGGTAGATACCGGTGCAACAGGTGCGGGGGAAGAGGTGGCCACCTGAATGGCGCCAATCCATCCTCCGCCCGAGTGGCCTCCGCCTCCAGCACCGCCACCACCCCAGGCTGTGGAAGAGTAAGCCGGCACGGCGACAGAGGACGCGGCCGGGTCTACGGCAGCAGCAGAGGATAAAGCTGGGTCCACGGCGGCAGCTGCAGAAGAGGATACTGGGCTGATGGCTGCTGTGGCTGCTGCAGCACCAGCGGAGGTTGTCGCAACCGCTGATCCAGACGAGGCCATAGCGCTGGATGCTGCAATGTCGGAAATGGAGGTACCACCCGCGGCGAGAGTACTGGAAGCGGCATCACTCAATACACCTCCAGTCCAACTCACAGCCGCCGACCCCACCCCTGAACTTGCTCCAGCGCTCATCGCACTACTCGTGCTGGCACTCAACCCATCAGAAGCCCCAGCGATAGAGCTTATTGGCGTCCCTGTGACACCCGAGGCCCAGATGCTTGCCTCGCCCGATGCATTCTTGAGATTACCCGTGTTGTCACCGGGTGAAGAGTCTTGGGAAGAAGCAGAGGAGAGAGATGGAGGGTCAAGGCCGGCCCCATCTCTTGAGGGGCAGAACGTCACTGTGTACTGCAACGATATCAGCTCTGAGATGGGACGTGGGGTGGTGGCCTTACAGACAGGTCATCTGTGCCGGCACAAGAGAACACGGCGCCTTCATATAGATCACTGGCATCGGATCAGCCCAATTTCTCTTTTGCTCCTCAACTCACTCGTCGGCGTAAACGTAGCCATTCTGACACATGCTCTTCATTGTCTTGTAGAATGCTGAGACGGTGACCCATCAGCTTTACAGTCTCCTTGACCAAATGGTGACCCACGGATATAGGTGTTGGGACAGTCTTCAGAGGCGACGCCTTCGCCACCCTGCCTGCAGCATACAGGAGAGTTGTCGGTGTCTGCGCTGATGAAAGCTCCGCTCGTGAGATCCTCTGATGACCAGGTCAGCTTTGCACTCGTTATTCCAAGGAACGTGTAGCTCACGAAATTGGAAGCTGTTACCACAGGGCGAATTGCAGCTGTCTATGATATGTGCATCAGCATTCCATCTGGGTCGATTCCGATACACTCACAAATCTTGTCATTACCTTGGGGGTAAGCAAGGTAAGGATCACATTGCGTCAGTATATCGGTTTCTGCGCCACAAGAACTTTTGGTGCAGGAAGAGTCGGATGGCGTTATGGTTATCGGAAGGTTATAGCCATCCACTATGGAGACTGTAGCGTACATCAGCTGGCAGCCCCTGGTAGGTCGAATCTCAAGAAAGCTTGACTCACTGTCATATGAATCTTGTCCCGAGTAACCGTTCAATGTAAATTCAGCGAGTGTAGCGCCAGCAGTTCCAAACTCAGTGCCATCGCTAGTAAATTCACGTCAGCTTCCCCCATACATGATCCGGGATGGTACCACTGACCATTCAACAGTCCCAGCCGTACATGCACCGATGACGCAGTCCAACGAGTCCCCACTCTTTTCGCAACCCGTCCTCGCCCATATCCTCGCATTGTTCCCTACGTTTTTGCATCAGCTCTGCGTCACCTTCGTGATTGAATACCTACAGCCATCTGGCGCAATGAAAGTATACTCTCCAGGCTCTTGTTCCCATCCGCCTGGCTGGGCTGAGCCGTCAGATTTGGTAACGTTACCACCCTGGCCGCCTACGGCGAGGTACAAAGTGGAGGAGCATTTGTTGTTGACTGTGATCTTGCGCTCGGCAAGTGTGGACGGGAGAACAGTGGTAGAGATGAGGATGGTAATGAGGGTGGCGGGAGAGAGGGGGGAGCGAGAAAACAGGGGCATGGCGAATAGGTTTGTAAAGAGCGTATCGAGTCAGATCTGTAGAAGGAAAGGCGTGAAACAGATGAGGTTCTTATATCTTGCTTTGAGATGCTACGAGGAGGCTTTCCTCCCGTCCCGTACCACTTCTCGAGTTTCTTGGCTAATCAGAAGCCCGGCACAATTCAATCTCAACCACGCGCAAAGGATTATGCCGTTGAGATTGTGTCTGTTTGTCGATCAAAGAAAGGAAGTCTTGCTCTTGACCTTGCTCGCAGGTGATACGCAGATGAAAGCCCTGAGGAAAGCAGACAAAGTGCCCCTGAACAAGGTGATGAAGGATGCCAGCCAGGGCCCTACTGAATTTGGGAAGGATAGAAAGAGCGTGGGGAGTAGTGGGGGCCAGCCACAGGATTGTTGATTGATAAAAGCTAAGTATGACACGCTCAGCGTGAGTTGAATCTGTGTTTTGTGAGGGAATTCAAGATCAAGTTCACTCGCACTCGAGGATGACTCTTTGAATGGTGACATTGCTTTCATCGGCACTGCGTCATTGCCCGTGGTTAATACGCGAGGTGGAAAAATTCCTTTGATGCTCGACGCGTAAAGTAGCACGGGAATCTCCCCCTGCTTTGACAGCGGAAGGAGAAAGGAATGTAGCAGATGGGCTGCTAAAAGGCATAGGGGAAACATGATGGATGGGCACTAGTGTCACAGATGCACGCTGAACCTACCTTTATATTCAATGTCCGCTCTGACTCCGACGGTTCTTGGCCTCTCGCCTACAGCAGAGGTTGAGCACGATGTCCTTTCGAGTTGGGTTTCCTTGGCTCTGGAGATAAGCAAGCAGACTTTGGAGTTGACAAGATAGGTGAAGCTGCATGCACACCAAAGAAGTTATCACACAGAGCCGTAGGAGAATCCTGTAAGGGTGTTTGTGAGGTTGATGGGAAAGTAACGGATAGAGTGATCATGAGAGATAGAAAGTAACGTCACAGGAGAGAATCCTCAAAGGGGGTATACGCGGTGAACTGAAGGGAAAAGGGGAGAGATCTGGACACGATATCCCGAGATTATGCGAGGCGAAGGCAAAGAAAACGAGAGAAAGAAAACGTTATACACATGGCGACGGGCGTTAAAACAAGATCGTAAACAGGCAGCGATGGGCGGTACAGATACGCAGGAACGGCTGGCCAATCAGTCTACTTGCCGAGGCCGAAACGCTTCTTCTGCTGCAATTTCTCGTCAGTATTCAATCGCGTCAAAGCAAAAAGGACTCACCGATCCCTTTTCAGGGGTCAAAGGTCGACCACTCTCAATCCTTCTCTTCTTATCCTCCAGCTCCTGCCTCTGCTTCTCCAGAGCATCCTTCATCTCCCTGTGACGGGCGTAGAGCTCCTCTTCAGACTGCTTGAGCTTGGACTCCTTCTCCTGCACCTTTTGCTGGAAGACAATCTTCATCTCGGCCTCCATCTTGGCGAGTTTGGCCTCGTGGAGAGCTCGTTCCTCGGCTTGCTTGGCAGCAGGGCTATAGCATGTCAGCACATAGACAACCTTAGAGCGGAAATGACTCACTTGGTCTCCCTGAAAACGCTCTCATCCTGCTGAACACCCATAGCCCTAAGCTTGTCCGTTCGGTAATTCTCATACAGCACGTCGTTGGTGTGCTCCCTCAACTCCTCCATATGAGTCCTCACAAGCATCTGACGGAGTTTGACAAAGTCGCAGTGCTCCTCGTTGTCGACTTCGATGATACCCCAGGGGTAAGCTCGGCCTCGGACTTGACGGCCATCGGGAGCTTGGACGAGAGAATCGGAACCGACGACGGCGAAGGGGACCTTGCTCTGGAGAGAGTCAGCACAGGCAGGGCCGGCATGTAGCGGCGACGTACAACGATCTCCTCGTTCTCCTGGATGGTCTCCTCATCTTCATTCTCGTACTGGAAGGGCTGGAAGATGTCAATGTTGTGGTGCACAATGTCCGCGAGGATCTGAACAAGTGGTAAGCTGAGACTCAAAAGCGATGGAAAGCACACACTCTTTGCTTGAAGGCAGCGATCTCGTCATCGGTCATGGTATCGGCCTTGGCAATGATGGGAATGAGGTTGACCTTGGTATGCAGGCGCCTCATGAACTCGATATCGATAGGCTTGAGACTAGCACAATGTCAACGCGCATCTTTGACATTTTGAATGACTTACGAGTGACCTGTGGGTTGGATGAAATAGAGACAGGCATGGACTCGGTTGTCAGTGAGCTTTGATCGGTTCACGCGGTTCTCCTGCTCGAGGTAGGCATCAAATCGACCCTCAATGTTCTCAACGATAGGCTTCCAGCTCTCGTCATTGTTGACAAAGTCACCGAAACCTGGTGTGTCGACCACAGTCAACTTGAGCCTCACGCCATTCTCTTCAATCTCTGCGAAGGACCCATCAGCTTTCAGAAATCCACTAGCGCACAACTGAAGAACGCACCAGCAGAGATGCTCTCAATGTTGACTGTCTTTCCCCTGTCAGTCCCAGGTGCGGGAACCTGCTTGGGCTGGTAGAGTTTTGTTTCAAAGAGGGTGTTGATCAGGGTTGATTTACCGAGACCGGATTCACCTAATGAAATGTTAGCACATGGCGCGGTCTGTGCGCAAAGTCCCGAGCTCACCAACGACCATGGCTACAAACTGGAATCCTCGCCTGGAGTATTTGTGTCAGCTCTGTATGCCATTGCAAATCGATAGAGTCCATTCGTGCCAGCTTCGCGAACCATCAAAAACGCAGTCACATGGGCACTCACTTGACACTCCGTCTGTGCACCTGGTTGGGCAAGTTGCTGAAACCAACCCAGCTGGACAGCTTCTTTCTCGCGGGAGCTGCGACAGCAACAGGGGATGGTTCCTCGGGGTAGCCATTGGGCGAAATGGGACCACTGGCCGCGGGAGATGCGACCCTCTCGTCGCCATAGCCGTTGGCGGAAAGCTGGTCGGCGTTCTGTGAGGGGGAGATGGGCTGTTCTTCGTAGTAGGAGTCGGCCATGTTGGAGATGTTTGTAAGGAGCGTGTGGAGATGGAGGGGAGGGGATGACGAGAAAAGGGATGTTGAATGACAGACTGTGAGTTGGCCTCGACGCGAAACAACAGAGACCGCGCGCGCTGGCTATCTGGGCTGCCACGTGGGTGCCACACTCGCCCTAGTCGGCGTCCGAAACACCGCTCATGCTAAGAAAATAGTTAATACTGAGTCGCTTAAGTACTCTGCTAGTTACTGTATTATTTACGCTTCTATCATCTCGGCGTCAGTAGTTGCTACAACAGTCTGTCTTCCAAGCTTCTGCATAAAAGTCAGCCCCCCCGGCAACTACCCCTAGAGTGTTATATATTCTATCATGAGACTCACACACGAGGTATGTGAGAGTGCCCTCCCATAACTTTGCAGCTCGCTGACTTTGTTCCAGTATGTTTCGAACGCGCCATCCGTTAGTCACAGTGCGAATCCATCCACAAATGTCATGCTGAACAGTCACAGCACCTTAACCCATTGAAGGAGAGGGAGCTTGAGCTTAGGGGTGCGTATATACTTCTCGCGGAGGAGGATTAGTAGCTCATACTCGCGCAGGACTGCAAATACCAGTTATCGAGAACTTGGCTTCGCATCAGGGATCATATGATACTCTCAACTTGAGCGACAACTCTATAACCGTCCTCGGTAACATCCCAAACTGTAGGTGCCAGATCGGCATTGGATGAAGGGTCGCTGATGCTGGATGAAATCAGCTCCGCGGTTACAAGCTATACACGCTGCTGGTAACCAAATAACGACTATCAGTCCTTCGCTACCTCCTAATGTGAGCCTGGTCTGTCTACGATGTTCGTGCAATAGCTAACAGCGCGTTGCAGATCCCCAACCTTGTGACTCTTGGTAAATGAGACTCGCTTTTGCACGATCAAATCCTAACCCTGATTCTAGTCCTCACAGACAATGTCATCTCAACACTCGCATCCCTCATACCGCTCGAACAATTGAAATCTTTACGGCACTTGTCCCTCAGAGGAAACCCTGTCACACAGCAAGAACACTACAAGGAATTCGTTGTCTGGAAGGTTGGTCTTTCGCCTCACCTACTCCGGATCGAACTTATGATTTGATTCCAGGTGGCCGGGGGAAAACTCCACACTCTCGACTTTGAGCGCATCAAAGACTCTCTCCGCGAATCCTCTCGCAAACTCCTCATCGACCCCGAGACCGAGCTTCCCAACTCTCTCGCCCACCAACTCTCCATCCCCACAACATCCGCCATCCCCGCTTCTTCTTCTGCTTTTGCCGCGTCCGCGAGGGCGAACGCCGACGGTGCTAGTGCGGGCGTAAAGGGCGGAAAGGGAAGGTTGATGACGCCGGATGAGAAGCGGAGGGTTGTGGAGGCTTTGACGAGCGCGCAGACGAGCGAGGAGGTGAGAAAGTTGGAGAGGATGTTGGCAGATGGAATCGTCCCTGAGGGTGGGATGGATGAGGCTATTGGAAAGGAGTAAATGCGAGGTGATTGGGAGCATATATTCCAATGAGATGGATCACTTTTTGTAACACATGTCCCTCGCTCTCGAAGCCCAATGAGTCTGTCCAGGCGCATGAGCTCTGGAGCAGCTTCTGGAGAAAACACATTGGACCTACTTTCCAACCCCCTGGCCGGCCTTTCGTCTTCACACTCGTGATTCACAGCATACACACATCCTATGATCGTTGGACGCACAAGCGCAGCGCAAAGGAGCTTACTGGGGCAAAAACAAAAAAAAAATAGAATGATCGATGACAGGATCGAACTGCCGACCTTGGACTAATGACTCGTTTGAATTATTAGGTCCACAATCTAAACCAACTGATATAATCGACCAGTTCATGTTTGAACGTCACAACAATTAATCAGAAGTCCATACTGCCTTTGCTGAACAGGCTTCCCTCACGTCGATGCATATGCTGATACAAAGGGATATTGGGGGTTTTATTCGTTCTTTTTATTGACCAGCGCCGTGGCACATAACTCGTCGACCTTGCTACTGTCATCACTCAACGGTATCGGCAGCCAGTCTTGTGCGCCTTTGTCTGTCTCCAACATAGAGATGGTTGCATAAACATTCGACCCCGTTTGGCCACGATAACAAAGAGACATATCCTGCTATTGTACATTATACACTCCGATATAGAAAAAATCACCTCACATCGTGCTTAGTGCATAGCTCCCAAAGCCTGAGCAGCATACTCCGGGTCCTTCTCGATACCACCCACTTCCTCCAAGTGATACAAGGGCTCGAGCTCCACCTTCTTTCTGAGAATTTTGCTCTTGATGAACCAAGGAGCCCAGACCTTGGCCTGGTATGAGGCGTGGGTAGCAGTGGGGACGCCGAAGACGTAGTCGAGCTCTTCAAGAGTGAGTTGCTTGGTCTGCATTCCACGTTAGCTTCCATAAGAAGATGATGAGAGGGGAAGGAAGATTACGCACCTCGGGGAGGAAGAAGAAGATGAGGACAAAGGCGATCATGTTGAGACCAGCGTAGAAGCAGAAAGCGCCGGTGGAAGTCATAGCGCCAACCATTCGGGGCCATGTGAGGGAGAGCACTGCAGCCCAGAAGAGACAGGTCTACGATCAGGTGTCAGTACGCGTGTCAGGACAAAAATAAGTGAAGACTTACAGCAACAGCCCAGCTCATACCGACTTCTCGGTGCGCCAAGTCAAACACCTCGGCAGAGTAGGCGAAAGGGACAGGTCCCTCACCGACACTGTAGAACATGGCAAAGATGTAGATGAACACTGCGATGAGGGGCACTCGGGCACTCGAGGTCGTGGGAATCAAAAAGCACAAGCCTGTGACGAGCAGAGTCCAAGCCATGTTGGGGAAGGTAGACAAGAGGAGGTTTCGACGACCGAAAGTGTCAATGGTGAAGACGGCGGGAATGGCGAAGATGAAGTTGATGAGACCGAAACCCCATGAGGCGAGCAGGCATTCGAGGTTGCCGTAGCCGGCCTGGGAGAAGACGGATGAAGAGTAGAAGGCAATGATGTTGATACCGCACATCTGTTGAGCCTGCGGAGTGCATATTAGCAAAGCTCATGGTATGATGGGTTTGACTTACAAGCATGACGACACCCGAAGCAAGAGTAGCTCGTCGGACACGAGGAATCGTGAAAAGCTCAACAAACCTAGAAACAACGTTGGACTGCCCCAAAGCGATACGCTCCTCTTTCAGCTGAGAGTGTACGTAGAAGAGGTCTCGAGCAGCTTGGAGAGGCGAGTTTCGGAGGCGGAGGAGAGACTTGAAAGCGTCTTGGTACCGGTTCTTCTTGATCAACCAACGAGGAGACTCGGGGCAGAAGTAGATGAGAAGAACCAGGGGGAGGGCGGGGATCAAAGCAGAGCCCAACTGAAGACGCCAAGCAAGCTTGCCGACCCTGAGTTTGCGTTAGTCGTCTTCTGGAAGCTTGTGCAACATGATGTGACGTACTTGTAGACAGCCAAATTGGCGCAGAATCCCAAAAAGATACCAAAGGCAGTCCAAAGCTATCAGGCGATCAGTTTATTGATCACGGATAATGCTGAACTCAAGCACTTGCCTGCCATGACATGACGAGACCTCCTCGAACGGAGGCGGGGACGTTTTCACTGTTGAAGATGGGGACAGTGGCGCCTTTGAGACCCATACCGATACCGAGAATAAGTCGAGTGATGAAGAGTTGCTGCCAGTTCTGGCAGACGGCAGAACCGATAGGGGCAAGGCTATGGTCGGTGTGAGCTGAAAAACAAGCGAGGCTGGCGAAGCTGAAAGGTACCACTCACAAACAGAAGATAGCAGCGATAAAGATGACACCTCGACGACCGAGCCAGTTGTTCAAAGGATCGGAGAGCCAAGCACCTGATGATACACATGTTAGTTTATGCTGGGACTGCATAGACGCCCACTCACCCAACAGACTTGTCGAAATGTAAGGAGCAGAGTTGACTATCATAGAGAGTTAGATCACGAGATATCATCATATCGTCAGCAAAAGCTCACCGAGACCGACGATCCTGCGCAAGACGTCAGCAATGCAACGTATGTGAGTATGTGGATTTCACTTACCACTGGTTCCTGGCTTGATTGGGATCACCGTCGGCGTCGCTGATGCCGAATTCTATGGGCTATAGAGGGGTTAGATCCTGAGGGTAAAGTGCAGAATATCCGCTTACGAAACTCAGGTTGGCACCGTTCGAACCAGTCTGGTCCCATCCCTATAAAGATATCAGATTTGCCACTGACTGATGAAATGAAAGGCTTACCTGGACAGCAGCTCCAATCGAAGCAAGGATGACAGTGAAGATCAGAGCTCTGGGCTGCGACCACTTGTCTACACAGTGTCAGCAAATCAATTCCGACCGCTTGCACATCTCCTACAATGAGTAGGGAATAGAAATGACTCACGAGTCTTCTCTCTCGTAATGACAGCCTTGTCCTCGGCATCCAGCTCGTCATACTGGTCGAACTTGTGAGGGTTTTGAGCGAGAAGGGCACCTTTGCGGAATAGCTGCGTCTTGTCGTTGAAGCCAAATTCTTCGCAGAAGTCGTCGACATCATAAAACAGCTCCTCTTTGGTCTTACCAAAAAGAGGGTTCTGAATTCTACTCGGGGTCAGACAGGCCACGAACAGGAGAGATAGGACTCACTTGGCATTGACGTTGGAATTGATGTTGCGGGCGAGCTCAGCTTCACGCGATCCGCCGTGTTCGACGTGTTGCGACTCGGCAAACTCGTGCTTGCTGTCTTCGTACTTGCTGTCAGTCAAAGACATGTTGATGGTGGAGCTGATCTGGAAGTCTATCGAAAAGTAGACGGAGTGATAGATTGTGGGGATGAACCAAAGTTTGTGGGGCTATATATACGTCTCTCGAGAGGAAACGTCTCAATGGCTGGGGCCGCGGGGGCTCCTCCGTACTCTCAGCGGGGAGAGCTGGGGCCTCAAAAAGGCACTCGTTAGAGAGTTTCATTGCTCTGGGTCACGAGCGCGAGTCCAGGTCTTCCACATCAGGGGGAAAACGTTGAGGGATGAGGAAAGAGAACCAAAGTGGTAGAGTGTACCTGATTTCTCGCGTTTCCGGGGAAGAATAACGAATTTCTTTCCATAATCTTGCGCGTTTTCCCTGATCTATGACCCACCCGAAAGGTGCGGTAGGCGGCAACAGCGTATTTTTGGCAATCCATCTCACTGAAGAGTGCGAATTGTGCTTTCGCGGTCGGTACGACTCGGTCTGGCCCCGGTGGTAATGGCACGAAGTTCAGGGTGAGGCGAGGGACTCCATATGGGCCCCAAGGCACCGATGAGGGGAAATTGCCACCGGTTATCGATAATGTTCAGCACATCAAGGGCGTCGCACGCGTCTATACCGGCGGGAGGCGCTGTTTACGGTTTCAAGGCTGGTTCCTGTAAAGGGCCTTTCGCATCCAGGTATTTGGCGATATGGCTGATAGCGATTGGAAAAGTGCTTGGATGCATATCGTGCAACAGAAAGCAAGGCTATCAGGCGTTATTACGCTTAACACGTAGCCACAGCTGAGTACGCGTGGAATGCTCATGGCCTTGCTTTGCCACTGACGACGGGCAAGACATCGTATCGCGTACGAATACTGTACCTGTGTGCCTGGAGCAGAAGTTTGTTCAACATCGATCAGCAGACTCCCGTTCCCTCGTCATCTTCCGTCGTACCAAAAGTCGGGTCATTCGGTATTGAAGATCGGCATCGGGATCTACTGTATTCATCAGTTATCATGCCAGCAGCTCAGCTTAAGCAACTAGCCTATACATAGACATCACGACATGGATGAATCTCTCTGCTGTAGGATCTGAAGACTTGAAAGCATCGCGAGAGAGCAATCACTTCGTCTGGCAAAGATGACTGGTCACATTCCACCTTGCCGTATCTCCGCGCGGGGCGGGGACGAACACGCTCGATATCCATTCCACGATCTGCGATTCGATGGCCTTCTCCCAGCATGCGCTCCCGATACTGGATATTCAGCAAGCTGAGCGCTCGGAAGCCCGGCAAGCTGGCAACGCGACGAAATTCCGAGCATACGGGCCTGCCGTACTCAGAAGATTGTCCGAAAAGTCTGTTTGCGAATATTGTTCCGAGTTACATACAGACTCCAAAGCCCGACTCCGCAATGTTCTCCTCTCCTCTCGTGTGATTCGCAGTCAGGGATATCGGGAAGGTCTGGCGCAGCGCCACGTATTCAAATACATACGATCGATCACTTGCCGAGTTGCTTGTTCTCGCCCACATCACGAAGTAGAGAGAGTCTAGTCGAAGGGGATATGGGCATGGTCTTCTACAAGGTATCGCTTTGGTTAGCTTGATTCACAGATCGTAATCAGCATTGAATCGCCCAGAATCCAGGTATACTTCTTCACTTGTTCATATCTCTCCACCATCTAATCTTCTATACCAATCCTCCATAAGACTTCTCCACCAATCCAGCCCAATCCCATTCCTCAGGCCTCTCCCTGAAACCCCTGAGAGCTTCCTTCCTGCTCGCCCTCTCCACCCTCATCTGCTCGCTCTCTCCCGGAAGCGCAATGTCCGTACAGTAGAACCTCTGCAAAGCCAGAGCCAAAAGCTGAGCTTGCTGTTGCGAGAGCAAGAAGCCCGGGTTCAACAAGCTGCCGTCAGGGCCACCGGCAGAGGCAGGGGAAATCTCGCCCCGCATGAGGACAACATTATGCGTTTGGGAGAGCTCGGGATAGTGAGTGAGCACCAAGTAGGGCTGCGCCCATTCGCCGGAACGTTTGAATTCCTCAAGAGGGGTGAAAATGATGGATGTCGTGAAGGGCAGAGCCTTGGGGCTGGCGTCGGCGGAGGCAGGGGACCCGGAGGTAGGGGTGGGGTGGAAGAGCCACTGGAGGTAGAACATCTCGTACTCGTCCGTTTTGATCTGGGGCTGGTCCGCGTTCTCCACGGGAGCCGCAGACAGACGAGGAAGAGGCAACACGAAGAAGGGGTTCTCCTTGGCCACATTCAGCATGGAGGCATATGTTTCGAATGGCAACGAGGCAGAGAGGAAGGCGTTGGAGAGAGTTGGGTGGGAGGTGTGGAAGGCATTCCAGATCTGTGAGATGTTATTGGTGTCGTGGGGTGTCAGGTGGATGAGAGGGAGGTTGATGATGTCTGCGAGCGGCTGTCCTGATGTCAGCAACGGCTGACCACACGGTGCAAGTTACGTACCTTGACACCAGTTCTGTCTTTATGTCCTTGCGATTTGGCCTCCTTCTTCTTTCTTTCGGCTTGCACCCTCTCGCTCACGGGGTCTTCCACCTTCTCAGTGGCAGCCAATCTGGCCTGTTCGCGCTCCGCGTCTTTGGCATCTCTTGCCGCCTTCTCGGCATCAAGCTTTGGCTGAATGATTTTCTGCTTCAGCTCCTCGAAGTCCTGTACGCCTTCCCTGCAACCAAATCAGCCGTACTCTGAAGCCACCTGGTATCGACTCACTGCTCCGCCCTTTCTTTCAACTTTTGAGCATACTTTTCCTCCATGAGCTTCTTCTTCTGCTCGATAATTTCTCTTGGGTTGATTTGCTTGTCAAGGTCGGAAAGGACATCAGATCGGCGGAAGGTGGTGGAGAATGGTCGGAGAGCGATGCAAGAGGTCGAGGGCCGGGCGGCTCGGGAGAGCAGTCGAAGGGACATGGTGTCTATTCTCTTTTGATGGTTTGGTATACGCTTGATAGGCAGAACTACGATCTCCCAGGCAGTTGTTGACTGGTTGGCAGTTTGTGCAGAGAATCCAAGTATTTTGAGAGTTATCGAATATCAGCGAAAGAAGGAAGCCGAATGCTCGTACCTGACGGCGGAAGCATTTCAAGGTGGAGGTCAATCACTACGTAGATGCTGTCTTGTTCCAATCTTGTTCAAACGAAGTGGTGGCTCATTATGTACGTTTGTGCCCATGCATATACCCTCAGACTTCACCTCGAACGACCTTGTCGATACTCTCAGCCACATACTCGACATTCCCGTCGTTCAACCCCGCCACACTTATACGTCCAGAGGGAGGAACGTAGATATGAAACTTGTCTGTCAAAGTCTCGCATCGCTCTGCTGTCAGACCGGTGTACCTGTTCGTACATCGTCAGCCTCTCTGGCCAAGTCACTCGTAATGCGGAGGCGACGAGAGGAGGCAGGTGACTCACGAGAACATGCCCCTCTGCTTGACGATATGCGACCAGTCCCCTGGCGTACCCTTTGACTTGAGCAGATCGAGCAACTTGATACGCATCTCGTTCATACGGTCGGCCATGATTTTGACTTCAACCTTCCATTGGGCCATAAGAGCGGGGTCCGAGAAGATGATGTCCATCTGAAAGCAAATGTCAATTTCTGTCTCGGGCAGGCTGGGAAAGAGGGCAGAGCACGTACGATGGCAGCTCCAAACTTGGGAGGAGTAGAGATCTCTTTCCTGTTGTCAGTCTTGAGTTGCTCGGTGACTCGGACGGCATCGTCCGCGCTTTCACAGAGGACATGGATGGCACCAAGACGCTCGCCGTACAGCCCGGCGTTCTTGGAGAGAGATTGGGCGATGACCATGGGGATGTTGTGGGCGTTGAAGATGGTGATGCTCCTATCTTATAGTCAGAATTGAATAATGAGGCATGATGAATTGGACTCACTGCCTGTCGTCCTCGAAAGAGCCACTGACGAACCCTTGGTAGGCACAGTCAAAGAAGGCAAAGTGTTTTCTGGCTTTGAACACCTGCGCCAGCTTTGTCCACTGCTCGTCGGAGGGGTCGCACCCTGTGGGGTTGTGTCCCACCGCATGGAGCACAAAGATACTCTTCTCCGGCGCACCCTCCACCGTCTTCAAGAAGGCCTCGAAGTCGAGTCCTCGAGTAACCGGGTCGTAGTAAGGGTACTTGACAGTTTCAAAGCCGACATGCCTGAAGACCGCGTGGTGGTTGTCCCAGGTAGGGTCAGAGATGTAGACTGGCGTGCCCTTTTCCAAGAACGCCATCAGATGCAAAGCACCCATATGGCAAGCTCCGGTACCTCCGCATGTCTGCAGACTGGCAATCCTGCCTGAAGCAGCGACTTCATCCCCGACAATGAGCTTGGCAGCGCCAGAGAGGAAACCGGCATCGCCACGGATAGTGAGGTATTCGTGGTTATAGGAGGGGTTAGTGACGAGCTTGGTGACAGCGGTTTGAACGATAGGGAGGGGCCAGGGGACGCCGTCGCCGTTGCGGTATGTGCCTGGGCCGAGAGTGACCTGGAGACTTGTCAGTGCTGCCCGTTAGCAGTGGACAGTGAAGTGCGCACCTTTTTGGGGAACTTGTCGGCAGCGAACCGTTCAGCGAGCTTGAAGATACTGCTGAGAGTAAGCTTGATCACAACACGTGGCTATGGAACCTACATGTCCTGTGGCAGGACTTCAATCTGCTGATAGTCTTCGCTGTTGTCCGGCGTCAGTGCTGTCCCCTTCAGTGTCTAGATTACTCACGCAAGTGTTCCAGAGTAAAGAGCGGTCATGATGGGATGTGATGGGAGATGATGAAGAAGGAATCAATAGATGCATTTGTAGTGTATGTATAACAGAAAGGGAACATAGGGCCGCCATACCGAGATACGCTCCGGGATGCCGGGAAATCGGCGGCTCGGTGCTTATCCCTCGGCATCTACCCGGCCGCCGGATTGCTTTGGATATGTCGTCTCATTGGTCTCTGAGTAGCATACCTAGATAGATCATGAGTGTATGGGCATGATACGTGCTGAGGGTGGCAAGCGTGAAACGTACATTGAACAGTTATAACAGTACGAATCGCGGCGCCGCAACAACAACCAGTTGTCACTCGTTTCTTGGTGGCGGCCCTTAGCTCTGAGTAGATATCGTCAGATGATCATGACGCACTGTCAGTTGACCAAGAAGTGAAGAAAGTGATACCAAGGATCATACATATCCTTGATCTCCTGAGATGAGACGTCTAAAAGTTGTCGAGTCATACACAGAAGGAGAAGCAAAACGGTGTATCAGATTGCAGTAGACAAAATAACCAAGTTGGTGTATGACCACAGTCCATATGCATGAGAGAGAAATACGTTATCAAATGAAAAACCACGAAAGCTGCTACAACTCGCCAAGCAAGTTACTTTTGACATCTATTGACTTCTTCCTTCTTCTTCTTCCCTTCCTTGACCCCTACGCTACCAGCAGCACCTTAGACGATGTTGGAAGGGTAAGACCACTCGCTGCTCTTGATAAAATTCTCCTTGATCACTCGAGGAGACATGAAGCGGGAGAAGCAGACGGGGGAAGCGACTTTGTCGTTGGTACCAGAGTTTCGGGCACCACCGAACGGTTGAGATCCGACACCAGCAGCGGTACACTTGTCGTTCAAGTAGACTATGCTAATGTCAGCTTGGAGTACAAGAGGGGGAAGGTCGAAATCTTACAGTTACCGGCAGAGTACCTCAACTTCTCCTCAGCGAGCACAAGAGCCTTTCGGTCGTCGGCAAAGATGGCACCGGTGAGACCGTAGTCGGAGGTGTCGTCGACGAGGGTAAGGGTCTCCTCGAACTTCTCGTCGTCGTACACGTAGACCTGGAGCAAAGTCGGCGGGCTGTTCGAATCGGAAGAAGGGGAGAACGTACAGTGACAACAGGACCAAAGATCTCCTCAACCATGGTAACAGACTTGGGGTCCTTCGTCTCGATGACGGTGGGCTGGTAGAAGTAACCCTTGGAGTCGTCGCCAGTACCACCAACCAAAACCTCACCACCAGCGTCCTTGGCCTTCTTCACGTAGCTAGACACCTTCTCGTAAGAGCCCTTGTGGATAAGAGCGTTGACAAAGTTCTCCCACTCGGTCTCGGGGCCGACCTTGATCTTGGAGACCTCAGAGACGAGGTGCTCCTTGAAACCGGCCTGCCAGAGAGACTTGGAGACATAGAGACGGGAGAGGGCAGAGCACTTTTGACCGGCGTATTCGAAAGCAGCTCGGATGACTTGGGGAACAGTGGTCTTGATGTCGGCGGTCTTGTGGAGGATGATGTAGTTCTTACCACCAGTCTCACCAACAATTCGGGGGAATCTGATGACTTGTAAGCGTCTCCCAAAGCCTGGTGGATAGAGACCACTCACCCTCTGTACTTGAAGAGGTTGGCAGCAATGTCCTGATTGAGCTTCTTGAAGATGTCGGAAGAACCGGTAAAGTGGAGACCGGCAAAGTTCTTGTTGTTGATCATGGTAGAGACAACAAGCTCGGGGGGACCGGGAACGAACTGTACGGCGGAGGGAGGGACACCGGCCTCGAGGAGGAGCTGGTGGACCATGTAGGAGGCGAGCATGGAGTAGTCGGAAGGCTTCCAGACAACGACGTTACCGACGAGCAAGGGAGCTATATAAGATCAGCTGGGGTTTTGTGATAATCAATGATTGTACTCACTACCGACCAGGTTGCCGGCAAGAGCAGTGAAGTTGAAGGGAGAGACGGCACCGACGAAACCCTCGAGAGCGCGCCATTCGATTCGGTTCCAGTGTCCTCGGTCGTTGATGGCGGGTTGAGACTCGTACTGGGTCTTGACGATGTCGGGGCCGAATCGGAAGAAGTCGGCAAGCTATCATTCATGTCAGTGAGGGTCAACAGCAAGAAGAGGTAGACTCACCTCCTGGCGGACATCAATCTCGGCTTGCCAAGCGTTCTTACCCTGACCAAGCATGGTAGCAGCCATAAGCTTGTACCTCCAAGGACCAGAGACAAGGGTAGCGAGCTTGAGCCAGATGGAAGTCTTCTGGCCGAAGGGGACGTCCTCCCACTCCCTCTTGGCCTTGAGGGCACCGGCGATAGCCTTCTCGACGAGGGCGGCATCGGCCTGGTGGTAGTTGGAAAGGACGTGCTTGTGGTCGGAGGGGAGGACTTGCTGGGCGATGTTGCCAGTCTTGACCTCTACACCATCAACCTGTAAAGTGTAAGCAGGGCAAGAGTGATGGAGGAGGACGACGTACGACACAAGGGACCTCGTAGGGTCCGTGGTTGAGAATCTCCTGAAGAGCCTCTTGGAGGAGGGCACGCTCGGGGGTGCCGAGCTCGTAGTGGCAGGCGGGCTCTTGGTAGGGCTTGGGGATGTTGAAAGTGGTGGTGGACATTACGATGGATGAGATGGGTGGGCTGATGAGGGAAAAAAGACGGAATGTGCGCTTTATGTAGGCATCTTGGCTCACACACGGAAGCCAGACTGTACAGCGAGCCGGCACCTCGGCAATCAACTTCGGCACCGCGGCAGGTCGGGTCGGCGTCTATCTCCTTATCGCCGCTTATCTATTCCGCCTCTCAATCGCGATCTGCGTGCCGAGTCGCCGCGGACTGTTCGAAGACCACTGTAATCATAGAGTACTCGAGTACACTGTACATGGAACTATGACAACTGTCTATACAACCCTCTGCCTACTCTAGTTGTTATTCCACCCCGTATTCGTCAACCCCATCATGTTCATCAACGTATTCCAATCCTGCATCTCTCCTCCTGAACTCTCTGGCAGCTGCAGGTCCGCCGGGTCGGCGTGTTGTCCCCCAGCATCGCCAGCGCCAAACATCTGATCGGCAGAGAGGTTGCCCACGTCCGTCATATTGCCTGATGACCCCGCACCCCTTGGCGCCAGGACTGTACCTCATATCAGCCTTTTCCGATAGACGTTTATGTATTGGCTTACAAAGCGGATCCAGAATACCCCAAACATCAGCTGCACTAGCCCTAGGATTCACACACCCCTCCGCCGCAGCCTGGTTCAGCTGATTCACCAGATCGTACACCCTATACCGCAGACTCGTCGCTTCCAGACGATCACCTTGGGTGCTGGCCCATGTTTCAAAGGCTTCCGTGATGGAAGCGAGCGCTTGGAGTGATTTGGGAGAGGTGGTGGAGAGATAGTGGTAAAAGTGCATTTGGGCGATGTGTGCTAGGGAATGTCATCAGTCATGGCATCGAGAAGAAGGGATGGCCGTACCGAGAGAGTACGTCGCAATGAAACAGGTATCAATGAGATGTGTCCCATTCAACACTGTCCATTTTGCAACATCCAATGACCTCTGCACCAGTGCATCCCACTGTTGTGTCGTAACATTGAACGTTGAAGTATCTCTGGTCGAGGACGGGAAACGGAAAGGCCGCCAGGCGACGTACTGCTTACCATCAGCGCTTTCACTCATCATAGAAGGAAGGAAACGCACTTGTATACAGACAGCCATGAGCTCTAGCAGAGCCGCACAAGAATCCTGCGGCCCACTCGACGTCGTAAGGAGCAACTCTGCACTCAGCTTGCCCCGCCAATTCACAAGATCTTCGGATATCGCTTCCAACTCTGTCCGATCCACCGACGCTAGCGGGCCTTTTGATATATCAAACAAGCAAACCACTGTTTCACATCAGTATACCAGAACAGTGAAGAGGGACAAGGATACTCACGAGTTCGCCGGAGAAGCTGAGTCAACTCCCAAGTGTGATAGACGTATCGATCGATATAAGCTGTTTGGCTGGTATCGTCTGCGTCCGGCACAGAAGGCTTTTTGGCATCGCAAAAGCGTGTGTCGATCATGAGTGGTTGTCCATGCGACAGCGCATACCTGTTTCAACTTAGCAACCATATCCGTCATCGAGACGCTCAAACATACCAAGCATCCAGCATGATACACAAAGACCATATCCTCGTCCTCGTCTGCTGCTGCAAACTTGACATTCCAAAGTCCGTCACATGCCTATGCAGACCCAAATCCTGCGCCATCCTTATCGCTACACCTACCCTCAGCCAGCATATCCCGCCGCCCGTACTCTCCGTAATCCCATGCAGCTCCGCGCTTAGGCTGATCACCAGTAAAGACGAGAGGTTGGCTTGGGAGGCAGTCCAGATGTTTCCGCCGGGAGCGCCTTCGAGGAGGTGGTAGAGTCGGGAACGGAAGGATTGACAGACTGCTTCGGGGACGGTGCGGGAGAGGGAAGCGAGGGAGCACATGGAGAGTATTTGAAAGGCGGAGAGGGCGCGCATGTTGCGGACTTCTTGGGGGAGTAGGACGGGGAAGATGGGAGCTATGGTGTCGGCGTATGTAGCGAGCACTGAGGTGGTCTAAGCATGGCTTCATACTCAAAATGGGAAACTTACGTTTCTCCATCATAGGTCGCTGTAGAGGATCACTGGGTAATCGCCATATAGGCGTCGATCCATTTAGCGACCAGCAGATCATCGCTTCCTCTTGCAGCGTCGTCCGCCGTCTGATGCCATATCGCATATCATGTACAAAGACCCTCGAGCTGCCTACATTATCGTGTGTTATGGGAGCAATGAGTGATGATAATGAAGTCGAACCTGGTCTATTGTGAGCTCTGAGGGAGGCGTGGAAAGAAGGGCGAGAGCTTACCAAGCATTCTAGGCTCCGCCTTGCAGAAATGGCTACCTTCGACCTTGTTCTCGAGCAGCTGGCGCATACCACTGCGGCCCTATTAGCTTTTTGATTGAGTCCTGCTCAATAAGACACTCGCCATTTCATCGGCAATCCCGCGAGCTGATTCAACGTTGACTGAGCAGGCGACGCGCCCACCGACGGCGCAGAGACGACCGTAAACTGGGTTGTCGGCGGTGGCGGCGTCCCCTCCTCCAAATCTCTCGGCGCCTCAAAGTCTAGTCTGTGGGTGGCTGTACCAGGTGTGTCGAGGTTACTTGAATGAGGTGAAGGCCGGGTGAGAGGAGAGTGATCTGGTCTGGGCATGGAGAGAGGCATTGGAGGGGCGGCGAGGGGCGGCCGGAGATTGTTTGGGGGATGAGGCGCAGAGGTAGATGGGCGACGAGCGTTCAGAGAGTGATCTTCTTGAACAGTTCGAGGTGTCCATGGTCCGCCCCCCGACACACTCCCCGACATACTTGCTCTCCCTCCCACCCCTTCACCATCTACCCTCGGCTGCCCGCCTTGACTTGCCGCATTCACCGACCCGCCCTGTCCACCTTGCACCGTCCTCCCCCTATCTCTATCCCGATCCCTCCCACTCGTAATCTCACAGACGAGCCCGTACGTCTTGCACCTCTTGCACGGTGCATCGGGCCCAGCGTCGTCGTTGAATTCGCACCGGATCTTGCGGGTTTTGCAGTTTGCGCATGCTTTGGAGGTGCGTAGTCGCTTTGGCGGCGGAGAGTGGGAGTCGGTGCGGACGGGGGCTGCTTGATCTGGCATCGGTCGAGAAAGACGTGAAGACGTGAACAGGTGGAAGAAAGAGGACATGGTGGAATAACGCGCCGAGATCAACGCCGGCAACGCGGCATCCCGGAATCTATTTCGTCCCCTCGGTCATTTACGTTTCTTCGTATGCACAAGATATCCCAGTCCGCCACACACATTCCCACATAGTCAAGAAGGCAGAATTGTGCTGCACAAGAAACAGCCCCCATCTCAAGCAAGGAGGCCATGCCGGACTCTAGTAAGGCTTGTACACAAAAGGTCGGCCCCTCCGAGCCAACTGCTTGGTCCGGGGTCCCCGCGCGCCAGCGTTGTCAACATTCACCACTGGCGCTGCTGGAGCGGCACGAGACTGAGCAGGAGTTGCTCCTCCCCGTCGAGCAGTTTGTTTGGTGCGCTTCTTGGGCTGTTCAGCAGGACCTGGGGTGATTTGAGCTGTATAGCGACGATCAGCGCTCGTCTCTATCAGTCGTGAAGAGTACGAAGCGTACCGCTGGAAGACCCTGGATTGTCAACAGTCATTCTCCAGTACTCGAGCGTGACTTTGGAAGAGCTCGAAGGAGCCTCAGCAGGTCCAGCACCCTTAATAGATTTGGCAGCTGCACCACCCCTCCTGGCTGTCTGTTTCTTGGCCGGCGCAGAGTCGATAGGCACGATGGCTGCGGCAACTCGCGTCAGCGTCCTTTCAACATTACACACTCAAGGGCGCACAAGCACCCGGTGGCATAGGCACCATAGTCCTCCAAAACTCCATGGTGGTAGCCGCAGCATTTGGTTTCACGGCGGCCTTGGCTTTGGGTGCGCGAGGGGCAGGTTTGGCTTTGGCTGGCGCACCGCGAGAACATCGAGCAGTCCGTTTCGTTCTCTCCTCTACAGAAGAGGGGTCATTATGATCAGAATCCGTGCGAAAGGAAGGAGGACGTACTGGGCGCAGATACAGGAGATGCGGCGCTCACACGAGAAGAAGCTTGTGCCCCACCCTGCCCGCCTCGTCCGCCTCGGGCTGCTCCCCCGCCCCTTCTTGCAAGCTGCTTCGTTCGGGTACCAGTGGTGGCGGAAGGAGTCTGGAAGGGTACCACATCTGCTTCTGATTAGCTTCACATACGTGCACAGCAGAGAAGAAAGCACTACCCACACTGATCTCCATAGTGATCCACCTGCTGGTTATCTCGCTCCCACCTCATCGCCTCCTCCCAGGAGTCTACACTAAAACCATGTCGGTCCGTATCGCCAAAGCTTTCTGAGGCAGGTAAGTGTCTGGGCCCATAGTAGTCGTCATAGTCGTTTCCCTCTTGGTAATAATCTTGGGGGTCTTCGCGGTGGGGGTCATCCCAGGTGTCCTCGATGTATGCGTGACTGTGATTGTCGTCCTGCCAAACCCAAGGCATCCTGTGTGTACTTTGAGGGAGATGAAAAGATGAAAGAGAAAGAAGGTGCCCGAGCGGGCTATATATGGTGGTGTGTCTCGTTGCCACCGTCAACCAACCTCGGGCTTCCGATGGCCTATCACATCTGCGTACGAGTACTGTCTAGCACCGATAGTGAATTTGGTATAGCATCATTCGTATGGAATCTAAATGCAAGTAGATAATCCAACCCCCTTCCTCTATTCCCATCTAATCTATCTCGCCCATGCGCGGTGTCCTGCACCAGGTCGACGATGGCGAAGGACAGTCGGACGTGTGGGGACTTTCGTTCGTGCAGGTGTAAGCTATATTATCAAACATCAGCTCTGGCTCCATAATGACCGTCCGGGAAGGGAAGAAGCTCACGCAACACCCCGTACACCAAGCACACCCTTCGCTAACGCCTCATGCCTAATCAACTCGTACGAATCCTCAATCCCCGCCTCACTCAAATCCACCCAGAGGAACGTGTCAGCCACCGGCGACACCCACGACGGCAGCCGGTCCAGATACTTTGTGCGCGGAAGCTTCAGATTGAGCACGACGGGTCATTCCAGTCCACCTGCTGATTCCCAGTATACTGTACAGTAAAGTACATAGCCACGAAGGCAGCAGTGCGCTGTACAAGAAACACCCTCTATCCCAAGCAACGATACCATGCCGCTTTGACATTCTCAACTTCCTTAACCTCCAAGACCCTTCCTGGTATTCTTGACGACAGCCACGATTCTACATCGTTTTGTCAGCTAAGACCACCTGAAATCTGAAAGTTAACTCACGGCATATCGATACCACTGCCTCCTGCCTTTCCGATCTTTTCGCCTTCGGCCCAACCCATCTTGCTGAGCAATTTGTGGCCGACATTATCATTGCCGATTTTATCTGCACCGATTCCAACCTGCTCTCCCTCCATAGGCCTGGCAGACTGCGCGGCGCCCCTGTCTTTGCCCCCAACTTTCGGTTTTTCAGCACTAGACTCGGAGTGCTGTGCCTTGACGAACATGTCTCCAGAGTAAGGAGTTTGTTCCTGGGGCTGTTCAGCAGTGCCCTGGGCGATAGAGTCGATATACATGGCTGCGACTACTTGCATCAGCACCCATTCCACATCAAACATCTCTTAAACGCACGAGCATTCTGAGACATGAGCATAGGCATCATAGTCATACGCATCATAGCGCTCCAGCACCACATCATGCCAATGGCTGTGAACGTAGCATCACTGGGATCTTGAGAAGCCTGGCCTTCGGGGGCGCGAGAGGATCGAGCGGCCTTTTTCGATCTCGCCTCTACAGGAGCATGTCAGCGTGGCCAGAGTCTGTGTGAAAGGGAGACATACTGAGTGCAGCTGCAGCAGGGTTTGCGCTCACACCAGAGACACCACCTTCTTGACGTCCCCGTCCGCGTCGGGCTGCTCCCTTACCCTTTCTTGCGGTCTGCTGCATTCGCGTAGTCATGGGAGCGGAGGATGGTTGATATAGTGAAGTTTGATTTAGTGAAAGTTGAAATAATGACGGTTGGTAAGGGTATGAAGGTAGTGAAGACTGGGAAAGTGAAGGCTGAGAAGGTGAGGTTTGAAAAGGGATCATCTCTACTTTCCATCAGCTATACCCGCGAGCGCTCGAGACGGGTGTACACACGTTGGTTTCCATAAAAATCCCCCGGTTGGCCTCCACTGTAACTCCCCTGCTAATTCCCCAGCCCCAGAGTCATCGCCTGCTGCCATCCATCCACGCCGTACGCATGTGCGCTACTATTATTGGATATCCCAGGGGCCGAGGGAGCGCCCCCATAGCAATTTTGCTGGTGAGAATGGTGAGGGTATTGGAGGTGGGGGGGCATAGGTGTTGTGGATGTATGGTTGGCTGGGATTGCTGTCCTGCCAAACCCAGGGCATGTTGATATGTGGCTTTTTGGGGGATGATCAGAAGGAGAGAAAGAGTGAGAGGATGTTTACCAAATGTTTGCGCGCAACGAAGAGGACGTGCGAGCGGGAGTATAATTTTGTTTGTACGCTGACCGTCAAATCAATCAACTTTGGACTTCGATGGCCTTTCCCATGTAGTCAAGCATTATCCATATAGAGATCTGTATACAAAAAGATGACCAGCCCTCCCCTCTATTCTTTCTAGTCTTTTCCAACGTCCATGCAACGCCTAGCTCAAGCCTTGATACCAAGCGTGGCTTGCTTCTCCCTGATAGCCTCCGCGAGTCTTTGGAAGCCGAGATCGGTGTCCTGCTCGAGGTCGACAATGGAGAAGGACAGTCGGACGTGTGGAGACTTTCGGCCGTGGGGGTAGAAACTGTACAATCGTCAGCTGTGGCGCTATAATGACTGGTAAAGAAGATAAACTCACGCAACACCGGGTACACCAAGCACACCCTTCGCCAAAGCCTCATGCCTAATCAACTCGTACGAATCCTCAATCCCCGCCTCACTCAAATCCACCCAGAGGAACATTCCAGCCACAGGCGACACCCACGACGCCAGCCCGTCCAGGTACTTGTGCGCGGAAGCTTCAAATTGAGCACGGCGGGTAGCGTAGAGGTGGGCGACTTGGCGGCCGTGGTTGAGGAAACCTTCGAGGCCCCATTCTTGCATGAGGCGGAGGGCGACCGCTTGGGAGACACCACTGGTGTGGAGGTTGGCGCCGGCGGTGATGACGTCGATGGCGTGGGTGATCTCCTTGGGACCGGTAACGAAACCCTGTACGGTCGAGTCAGCTAATGTGGACGCATACGAGGGAGGAAGGCGTACGAGACGGAGACCGGCAGAGAGGAGCTTGGAGAAAGAGTCGAATCGGACAACATGGCCGCCTTCGGGGTAGACTTCAGTCTCGAGGGCAAAGTAACTGGGAATGTGCTTTTCGGCAAGGTAGTCTGTACTCTATAAGCTCACTTCTAGAAGAGTGTCGGAGTACTCACAGTAAGGATCGTCCTCAAAGATCAAGATACCATACTTCTTGCAGACCTTCAAGATCTCCAGCTTCCTCTCTCTGGGCGCAGAGCATCCCGAAGGGTTGGAACCAACAGGCGAAGAGTAAAGTACCTTGGGCATCTTCTTCCCCTTCGGCCACTCGCTCAAAGCCTTCTCCAAATTGACCGCCGACCCTCCCTGCTCATCCACATCAATCTCAATCATCTCGGCACGCAAAAACTTCAATGGCGGCAGCACTCCCGAGTAGATCGGGGTCTCGAGCAAGACAGGGTCGCCCGGGTTGAGCACGGCGAGGAAGCCCTTGTACATCAAGTCTTGCGAGCCGCTGCCGAGAGAGATGGCAAAGTCGGACTTGTCGCGCTTGTGGACGGTGGACTGGAGGTCGGAGAGCCAAGAGGTGAGCTTGGGAAGACCTGCGGAGGGAGCGTATTGCAGTGCGACATTGAGGTCTTCACCGTCGATGGTGACAGAGGGAGGGATGTCGGTGGAGGTGGAGCCCAGAGGGGACTTGAGATTGAGGGTGATGGATTCGAAGGGGAAGGTGACGGGGTTGGGTCGACCAGCGCTATACTTGGATCAGTGGGGAGCTACCTGAAGGTTGCTGACGAGAACATACAGCTGTACAAAGCGTCAGTCACATGGCCACCAAGCTATAAGCGCTACTCACGAAAGACACGACGTCGCCCTTTTCGAGGCTCATTAATCCACGGACTGTATTCTCATCAGCGCGGCACTTCTTTCAGTTGACTCTCTACTCACTGCCATCCACCTCTGTGACCTTGGACCTGTCGCTCAAGTGGTCATGGGGGTTGTACTTGGGGGCGACGCCATTCGAGTACTCCTCCAAGATGGAGGGCTGGGGCTGGGGAGCTAGGCCGACGGTCTCGGTGGTCATGTTATATACTCTTGATATGGGCGGTGGTATTTACAGCGGTTTTGTATATTACTTTTGAGACGGGCAAGGGGGAGATGGTGGGTTTGTGGGAGATTATAAATGTTGCTCAAAGTCAGACTCGAATTATGCCCGCGAATTTGCTTCCATGCGCGCCGATAACGATCTTTGGTAATCAGCCTGCGTTAACCGAGCCAAGTTCCGCCCGAGAGTGAAATGCCGAGAACATGCTCCGCCCGCCCCCATGCATCTCATACATTTCCGAAATCCATGGCACCCCATGCATGTCCCTGTGGCTATTCCTGCCTCAGCTACCCTCGAATCATCTTTTACAGTAGCAAAGGAGGTACAGCATTGCGATCGGCCAACGCCGCCGGCAGCGGCTGATAGGCCCGATAAGCGCGCGTGAAAGCCGAGCGCTGCTATCTCTTTGGCTATCTCTTATCAGAGCATTCTATCATCTCTTGATTGTGCGTTGGCATTGGCACTTGTATGGTCATCAGCGTTCACATAATCATCTCCTCACCTGGTGTATGATCGGACAGATGGGCCCGATGTACTTGCCCAGTCGCCAGACTCCTCGCGCATATGCTAATCACAATACGATACATATGGACACACTCTTGTACCCTTGCTCTGTACAAAGCATAGCGCTCAACCTAAAGTAACACCCGGAGATGTTTGTCCGACCTATAAGGTCAGAATGGAAAGTGACCTCCTGGTGCAATCAACAACCTTCAACCAACCTCAAACGGGCGGCGCCCCTCCCATCCCGGCCTTCCCTTGCCAGAACCCCTTCTTCACCCCCTCCTTCTTCTTCCTCTTCATCAACCAGTATATGATCAGTGCTATGACGAGCGCACCTCCTATCGCTCCTGATCGAGATCATCAGCGTCTTGATCACTCGCCATTATTGCCCAGAAAGCACAAAAGGAGGCAGTCCACTCACCACCGATGATAGCGCCTTCATTCGCACTCGTCCCACTCTTACAATCCGCCGAATCAAGACCTTGATTCAAACACGACTTGACAGTATCCGACACGCCCCCCGTACTCGTCGCCTCAGAATCTGTTGTTGATGCGCTGCCAGCAGCGGTGGTAGCTGAGGCAGAAGAGCTTTCAGCGTCGGCTGCTTTGGCGGCGGTGGTAGCAGCTTCTTTCGCTGTAGTAGACTCTTCTTCCTTCTCAACCGATGAGGACGTTGATTTGGTATCGGCGGCACTGGAAGAGGCCGCGGTGAGGCCAGCGCTGGCACCAGCAGCAGAAGATGTTTCGTCGTCGTCGCCTCCCAAGATACCCATGGCGAGAATATACGGCTCCTTTAAAAAGGCGCTTGAACCTGCAAGGCTTGAAATTTGTATACACGAATGAGGTGGTGGTGGTCGGTTATAGCTTGATAGGGGTCATGCAGGCTTGTTGGCGGGTAGCAGCTTTCCTGTTGATTTTGAGGATCAAGGATGGGTAAGAGATCGAAATCAGAAAGCCCCGTGGCAAGATGCCTACACGATAGGAGATGCCGAATAGGTGCTGTGAAAGCTGAGAGAGGAGAGGAGGTCCTTTCCTTTCTGCCCATGACTGGTACACGTTTGACGGTATAGGGTGAAAGGATGGTGGTTACGGGTAATAATACCTGCAAAAGCCGCCGAGTCGATAGCTGACTGCGCCGGCGAGCCGAACGACCTCTTTGCGAGTACCGACATGTAGATATGAAACAGCTGTGCATGAGTCAATCACCAGAGGCATACTACTCACACTCCCATTCTCCACCGCACATAATTCTCTTTCAAAACACCTCCCCATCTGCCATCCACGAGCCCAACTTGTCCAGTCTGGAACAGCTCGAATCCCCGTCTCGGGTCAAAACGCAGTCGCCAAACAACTGCTGGCGGCAGCCCTTCGCGATCTACCCTCTCTTTGTTCCCTCTCAAATCGGGATGCGTGAGGAGCCGGTCGGTGGGGAGGATGTGGGTGGTGAGGAGCGAGGCGATGGAGTGAAGGGCGTGGAAGCATGGGGAGGGGTGCCATGCCGGTGTAGTGGAGTGGGTTGCGGCGCTGTGATATTGGAGTCAGAGGCAAGATTCTAGAGAGGCGCGGAGGGGGAGCACGTACATGCGAGGAAGCATATATGTGTCAAACAGCTGTTGGGAACGGAGAATGCCGGCGTCGTCTCTGAAACCGATCATGAGGCGCTTCAAGATACAGTCAGTAGACACACCAATGAGCCAAATGACAGACTTACAGGCGTACCGAGCAGCCAACTCTGTGCCCAATGCTTCAGCAGCTTCTTTACAAACGTCTTTTCCTGCCACTCATTGGCGATGACTTTGTTGGTCTTGAGCTCGACAGTCTCTTCCAGACCGGGGTTGTTTTCAGATGGGGCTCCTGCAAACGTGCGTTAGTATCCGAGGAGTGTAAGTGTAGATGGCAAAAAAGCCTACCGTTGACACAATCGACTTCGCCTGCAATGCAGACCGGGATATCGCCGATAGCTGACCTCACCACACTAGATGCAACTTGAGCCTCTTATCTTGCCATCAGCAGAAAAAGCGTACTTTGCCCATTGAACGTTCGTGTTGACATCACCACCCCAATGGTCCGGCACACTCTCATCATGACTATAGCTCTTGGCGGTGGACCAAGATTCGTAAGAATAGCCCATGTATGCCTGTCGAGCCCATTGGGCTTCGCCCTTCTTCCTACCACAGTATGTCAGTTACTAGCAAGATGCAAGTAGATCTGGCTTACTTTGCTGCTCGTGCCTCGGGGGGGTCATAGAGTTCCAGGTAGACCGATCCGTCGAGGGCGAACGCTGTCATCTCCCATCCGTCTCGGGTTTCGTATGGAGAGGTCAGCAGCCTTTTCCCTCAAGTCAGTCTTCCTTCATGATACTGTAGCATGATACTCTAGCAGCACTATGATGCAAGATAACATACCTGGTCAGCATTCCCCGCCAAGTAATGATCCCACCCTTCCTCTCGCCCTCCTCGCCATTCCTCCCCATCACCTCCAGACTCTCCACCAGCCCATCCAAATGCTCATCATCATCCCCTCTCTCGACCAGCCTCTCAAATCCATAGTTCAGATCTGAGCCAATGGGAGCGGGATCAAACCAAGCCATAGCCGAATCATCGTGGACGATAGACCTGTCTGGGTTGTGTGAGTAAGTGTGGATGAGATGGGGCTGTCGATACACCGGATGGGGTACTGCTACAAGGGAGGAGGGGTGGGGCAGCGGGAGATGGATGGGGTGAGCCATGGTGAGTTGCCGAAATGATAGAGATGAATGGCGCAAAAGAGTGGACTGCCTCCACCTGCAGTTGCGGGAACAAATCTCGGATCAAGGTATCAGCGCCCATTTCCTCTATCATCCTGCATCCCATACACCACAGCCATGTCCAGATACTACCAGCAGGGCGTCGTGCCCACCCTCATCCCCCCACAACATGCAGAGTCCAAGAGGGACAGGAAGAGGAGGGAGACGGTGAACAAGATCGAGATGCTGCACGAGGAGAGCTGGAGAGCCCGAGACGAGTGAGTTCGTTCCGCCATCCAGAAGGGGGAGGTGCTGACAGAGAGCAGGAAGTTCGGGCAGATGTACAAAGAGTTCCATGCGGAGAACAAGATGGTCAACAGCCAACCGCCCACGTCGGCCAAGTTCCTGCTGCACGCTTACCCGGTCAGCGTCGAGCGGGACGCGAGGCTGGAGGCTGCCGAGGAGGAATTCCAATACAAGTGAGTTGTTTCCTCTCATGCCTGTGAGGGGATGGATGGGAGACTGACGCCATGCTGCAGGGCGAGCCAAGCACGTAAGATGTATGAGCAGGAGCGAGAGGCCATCGAGGCGCAATACTGGGAGGCGCGAGACCAGATCCGGCAACGCCTACTGGGGTCAATAGAGGATAGGCGAAAGAGGCTGCGCGATGAGAAGGAAGGTGGCGAGGTCATCACTGGTACGCATATACCTTTCTACTCTTGCCCTCATGTGCTGAACAGCGCTATAGAAAACTTGCTAGAAGCAGACACCCACAAACCCAAACGCCGCTCCTTCTTCACCCCCTCCTCAGCATCCACTCCCAACTCCCTGACCCCCTCGGGTACACGCCAATCATCATACTCCCGCTCCAAGTCTCCCTCTTCCAAGGTCAACCCCGCCGACTTGATGCACCATTCCTCCCTCACGCCTTCCCTCGCGCTCATCTCGGCTGAGGATATCCTGCCGAATGACTCGTCTCTGCATGTGCGCCCAGCACCGGCGGGGACGACGACATATGTGCCTACACAGACGGGAAAGAGAGGCGGACCGAGAGGAAAGGCGGCGACGGCGGAGAATGGTGGAGATGGAAAGGAGCTCGCTGCCCCGGGCACATCGGCCGCCCTCGGTATCGCTGCCGCCCAGTCGAGCAATAGAAGTAGGGGCGTGGGAGGGACAAGAGATCAAACACTGGCGCTGGGCAAGAGTCTGGCAGAGTTGGCCAAGATGACACAGGCGGCGCAGCTGGAGATTGACGGGGACTGGGCGAGGATGCAGGGCAATACGGGGCGAGGGAGGAGGACGAGAGGCGACTGAGTCTGTATCTACTTTTCATCTTCTGGCTGTATGTATTGTTGTCTTTGCTTCGACTCGGACGCGAACAAGCATATCGTACATGTTGCTACTTTACACATATAATCATTCTAACAGGGCGTAATGAGAATTAGTGTCCGTGAAATCGTTCAAATCCATGCAGCTCGCACACCAAGACAACTCCTATCCTACTCTGATGAACAAGTCAGCTCCGGCCCGTCCCATGTCCCATCAAAACGTACCTGTAAGGACCTTCTCCACCAGCCTATTGATCGTCTCCTTCCTCTCATCCAACCCGCAACCATACTCCTTTTCCAACGCTTTCCTCACTCCCTTCTTCGTAAGATTGTCCAGATCCGCGTCCTTACAAATCTTTCTGATACTTGCTTCGAGCTGAGAGTCTGTAATCGCCATAGCACCCAAATAGTCGACTGGTGCG